CAAGCTGGGTAAATACTAACCGGCAATGGTTTTGATATCCTGTGTCAGCTGGTAAAAAAAACCAAGGGTAGACAGCATGCCAGAGTTCTAACACCAAGCTGGGTGAATAGTAACCGGCAATGGTTTTGATATCCTGGGTCAACCGGTAAAAAAACCAAGGGTAGACAGCATGCGAGAGTTCTAACACCAAGCTGGGTGAATAGTAACCGACAACGGTTTGATATCCTGGGTCAGCCGGTAAAAAAACCAAGGGTAGACAGCATGCAAGAGTTCCAACACCAAGCTGGGTAAATACTAACCGGCAATGGTTTTTGATATCCTGGGGCAGCCGGTAAAAAAACCAAGGGTAGACAGCATGCCAGAGTTCCAACACCAAGCTGGGTAAATACTAACCGGCAATGGTTTTGATATCCTGTGTCAGCCGGTAAAAAAACCAAGGGTAGACAGCATGCCAGAGTTCCAACATCAAGCTGGGTGAATAGTAACCGGCAACGGTTTTGATATCCTGTGTCAGCCGGTAAAAAAACCAAGGGTAGACAGCATGCGAGAGTTCCAACATCAAGCTGGGTGAATAGTAACCGGCAATGGTTTTGATATCCTGTGTCAGCCGGTAAAAAAACCAAGGGTAGACAGCATGCCAGAGTTCCAACATCAAGCTGGGTGAATAGTAACCGGCAACGGTTTTGATGTCCTGGGTCAGCCGGTAAAAAAACCAAGGGTAGACAGCATGCCAGAGTTCTAACACCAAGCTGGGTGAATAGTAACCGGCAATGGTTTTTTATATCCTGGGTCAACCGGTAAAAAAACAAGAGTAGACAGCATGCGAGAGTTCTAACACCAAGCTGGGTGAATAGTAACCGACAACGGTTTTGATGTCCTGAGTCAGCCGGTAACAAAAAGCCAGGAGTAGACAATTTGCTGCTAAATTTATAGCTGCCGAATTAAAGATATTGACAAGCAAAGCACCTAAATGAGGACGTTTTTTAAAAATACGAGAGATATGTCCACAAAAAAACTTAGACAAAGTTGTTTCAAGTATATAAATGAATGATGAGATCAGCACTGAAGGGTTTAGAAATAATCACATGAAGATAATCTTACTCTACCTATCGTTGAAATGATCCTCTTATCTTTGGAAAAATGGTCGTTGCATTAATTAAAATATTGACATACTATTCTAATGGCTATAATCTATTGAACTGAAGCACGGTTTACACTATTCAATCTATTCTGGTTGAGCTTGGATTGTTTAGACCTATGTGAGCTTTTGTGTAGTTTGAACGCAGATCGAGCCCGAGTCGTCAAACGCATGTTGGATATGAAGTGTAAACCCTAAAAGCGGTTGAACACGGATAACTTTCCATTGCCAATAATTAAAGTGTGATAGCCTTAAAGTCGCTAGTACCCTTTCTATCAACTGTACGGCAAAGGGTAGGCCAGAACTTAGTCGTCTTTTCTCCGGAAAAAATTGAGGGAAATGACTTAAATAACAGTCAAAAATTACAATAACTTAATTTGATAACTTAACTTGACTTGCCATTGACACCGTGAAAAAAGAAGCCAGTTAGAGGATGTTTCAAAGCAAAAGAGCTTTTGTCATACCTCAAAAGACTGACAATTTCAAGACAGAGCTGACTGCATGACTTCCCTCCGATACTTTAACTTCAAACATACCTCGATCATCGTAAAAGTTCCACTTGTATAGGTCATCAGTCCAACATTCATAAAGAGATACTTTAAAGCCAGGTACGATTCTCCCACCGTCAGCATGAACACACTTGCCACTTGCTGGGTTGGCAATGAGAAGATTCTGCTTTAGTTCATACTTTGTTTGGTCGGAAGAGCAGTTTTTTGACAGAATCAAGTAAATGGAACCAACCTTCCTCTCCACACATTTTCCTGTCGCCACGTGTCTTAAGTTTTTCGTGTTAACGAATTCAAAGCGGTCACAAACGAATGTGTTTTGGAGCTTTAGGAAATTATCAGCTTTGTCGTGGACCAAACAAAAACTGGTAGTGTAATGACGAATCACAAATCTGACATTCTTTTGAAAATAGTAACGGTTTATGTCCTGATTGCATTTAGTGCTATAAGTCAGTTCTTCGTCTTCATTTGTACTTGACTTGCCATTGACACCGTGGAAACAGAAGCCAGTTCGAGGATGTTTCAAAGCAAAAGAGCTTTTGTCATACCTCAAAAGACTGCCAATTTCATTGCATTCATCAGATAAGCCAATCTTACTTCCACTAGCTGCCGATGCAGGGCAAATGCATTTCTTTGTTGGTATGTGGATGATTCTGGCTCCATCTTGCCATTGAAATTTGTCTCTACAAACCGACTGGAATACCAACGTCCCAGTGGCCTTTTTCAAAGCAAGGCATTTTCCAGAATAATGTCTTATATAGAAACTGTCTGTACGCATTTGGATGGAATATGAAAGAAAGAAAGTAAGCACGAAGAAGGTAAGCACGAAGAAGATACACCTTGAAATCATGTTGACAAGTCCTCTTTGCACAGCTAACCCCAGGTATTTGATTTACAGAGATCGAAATGCCTCTATTGAATGCATAGACGTAAAGATTTTGAAAACTGGTGACCACATTGCAGATGCTATCTTATCACCAGTAGTCTTTAATAGGACTCTTGATTGCGTTGGTCTTGATTGTTATTTTGATGAAAGATGATTGGCTTGATTAATTGCACCTGACTGGAAAATTTGTTGCGTTATTTGGCTTGGTTGCCAAGCAGAGTGAATTAGCAATAATTTGCATCAAAATTTTATTTCTGAATATAGTCAACGAAATTCAACTATAAAATAATTCTAAAATTCATATGATTTATGGAATCTCTGCTAAGACCATAACGATTTTTATGTGCTTTGCTTGCTATTACTAAAACTGAAAATACAATAATTCTACCAGCATATTTGCACAAAGAACAGAAAACATGTTTAGCAAGTAATGGTCTAGCAAATTCTGCCATAAGGAGGTGTCTAATGAAGGGGTGGTTTATCATTTTAGAAAAGGTAATGCTTATCATAATTACGCGTACGCGATTATCTGACATAAAAGTTGGTAAAATGAAAAGCTGAATTGAAGTTTGTTGTCAGAGGATTTGTAAACGGAATATCTTGAGACAAAAAAAGGAAGGAAATTTGAATATCATCTGACAAAATGCAAAGGTTTCTGACAAAATATTGCAAGGCGGCATTTGACTTCCCCCGCGATACTTCTTTAATGAAGAGAAGCAACACTTATTTGCAACTACTTCTGTGATAAACAGTCAGCCTGACAAAATATATTTTAGTACTTTTCATGACTTTGATAGAAAATCAACACGTATTTGCAAACTATACTTGTTCACAAAATGTGAAAGTTTGTCGGCAGATAATTCACGTCCCCCTACAAAAGAAAAGAGCTTTTAAAACGGTGACTGATCCAAAAGAAATAGTCTGAGCTGTTAGCGAAAAAGTCATGTAAAATGTGGTAGAAGTATCAAACTTGGTAAAGATAGGTTGACAGGCTGTAAAATATAAAGATGTATATATTTAAATATTTTTGTACTTAAATTCATCGCAAGATTTACAGAATCTGGCGGACAGCGTATCCTGCGGTTCTTCCTTCTAACACAATGTAAAATATAGTTTGCAGACACTTTCGAGAAATGTTTCTATATGCCATTTTCTATTTATATTTCAGATAATTGGCAGAGCCCGGTCGTCCTTCCATCTAACAGTTTTGGAGTCAATCTACATAAAAACGAAAAAGCCGCCATTGTGTAGACAAAAGGAGTTCGTTTTCTCTCTTGGACTCCATTTGTAATTTTTCTTTAGGCTCGCGGCACTGATTGGTCAACAATGCCGGTCTTGTGCTTGCGTTTTTCTGATTGGCCTATTTCGATCCACAACTGGGTATATATTTTACATCGTGTTCTTTCGGAACCTTATTCTGACGTTTTATGCTCTGAGGAGTGTCAGACGAAAAAGCTTTTAGTATGTCGTAAAATGTTTGCTTTTTTCAAAGCCATTTTCAAATTCTCTACCGCAAAAAATTGTTCTATTTATATAGCAAGGAACATATTAATCGATGACAATATTTGCATTTGGCTACAAACGCTTGGTAACTTACAGGAATTTGTGAAATACATCAAAAAGCGACTATTAGAACAGGTAATCAATATCAGATGGCCAAAAAAATCAGAAATGAGAAACCAACCAGAAAACAAAATCAGAGCCATTGAGTAAAACAATCAGGAGGAGACGATTAAATTGGCTGGGCCACCTTATGCGCCTAAAAAATGATGAAAGCCTGAAAAAGACAAAAAAGAAAGTCGAAAAGAAAGACAAAAAATTGATAGAAAAAGACTAATCACTGGCCAACATACAACTAAACATTGAGTCAAATCCTGCTGAAAAAATGTTAAAAGTCCTGCAAGAGATAACAGCAAACAGAGAGACCTGAAGATGGTGGAAACACATAATGGTGGAAGACCGCTGACCACGTATTATAGTACAGGGCTTCATTCTGTGATGATAATCAGTCAGTAGAAATCACGTTACATTGCACAAACAGTTTGCATCTCTCTGGTTCCGTTTCTCTGCACGTTAAATAAGATCGCACTGGTCGAAAACAGCACGTTTGTCGTTTAATAGACATTTTAGCTTTTTTTATAGCATGGAATTGTTCAGGGTTTGCAATCATTTCATTTTGTTTCAACCATGATACGGCAACGCCAGTTTCTTTTTGCAAAGCATTCTCAAAATCGGACATGCGTTTAGAAAAATAAGCAATTGTATTATCATCTACATAATTATAGAGCGTTACTTGTTTTAGGAATAGAAATAGATCATTTATGTAAAAGGTGAACAGGTTTGGTCCTAGCACAGAGCCTTGGGGCACACTAGACATACCTTGGGTACCATACTTGCAGTGAGTCTAGTACACAGGGTACACTAGATATATCCTCTTAACAAGAGGTATATGAATTATTTATCAGAACACACTGTTTACGTTTTTTGAAATAGGAATAAATAAGAACTGGAGCATCTTCATTAAATCCATGCGCTTGTAAATCATGTGGAAAACAGTCATCTCACCGACGAGATAGTTGTTGTCCTGGTTATTTCGCTAGTCATCAAAATGTGTTGGGATGCATATACTCATCTATACCCTGCAATGAAGATTGAAAGCGTATAATCTCAATGTTGAACCAATTGCTTGTTGATAAAGTTGAAAGAAGAAATCTCCAACCCCGTTTTTTGTTTGCCAAATAAAGTTGTGGCCATTTGCTTTGAGTGCATTGACGTGAAGACTATGAAACCACGCTGGTGCCCACATTGAGTATGCTTTCGTCTTACCGGCAGCCAATAAGAGATCCTTTTAATTGCATTGATCTTGATTCTTATTACAATAATATAGCTGTCTTGATTAATTGCATCTGTCTGAAAATGTCCCGGCGAAATGTTAAATGCATTAGGAGAATCAAGAATTAAGTGCATTTAAAATACAGCGCTTGATTTGAATCATCTGCATGTTTTCAGTCGACTACCATAATTTTATTCAATATACCCTGTCATATTATGCGACATCGGTGCAACTTCAAATCAATCTCCGTTTGTACCTGTGTCGTCGAATGTAATGTATAAATTGAATTTCGGTGTCAGTGTGATTCTGGCTACGTATGACGCACAACCCAGAGATTGGGGGATAGAATAAAACAGCATGTTCCTTCCGACATAAGAAAAGCAACTGTCCCTAAAAGAGAACATCCTCCTCGATCTTGTAGTGAATCAATGTTAAAAAAGGTGATTTTGCCATCGGTCTTGGAAAGAAGGGGGGGGGGGGCAGGCTTGAGTAAAAGGGCTTTTGAACGATAATTCTCAGCTTCTACAGATTCATACGTAACTGCAAATTTATTATCTGTAGGTATCTTCAACATTGGCTAACTTTCGACATAAGGAATTATTTTACATATTTTGAGAAGTTCAGAATTTTATATGAATCTCTCTGATTATTAAAATTGGCCAGTTTCAAGGGAACTTTATTAAAAACAACCCTTGCCCCTTCTGTCAAGGGGCAACAGGGGCGGTTGTTCCCCCACACCCCCTTCTCTGGCGTCCCTGGAAATAGAAAAGGGATGTTCGGAGGAATATTTATTAACACGAAGCAACTATAAACACACATGGTTATATCATTTGCCCATATAATGGGCGTGTCCCACAAGAAAGGAGGGCGTGGTCCCGATCCCAAAAGATTTGAGCTATAGTCACCAAAAATCCTGGATCCGCCCCTGCTATAGACGGATATTGAAGATTTCCTATCTAGATATAGTAACCAACGACGAGGTATTTGCTCAAATCCATCAAGACAGGCAGCTTCTACGTCAGACAGAAAAGAGACAGATCAGTTTCCTTTGTCACATTATTCGTAAACAGACACTTCAAGATCTCACGCTCACCACCAGGATCGAAGAAGAAAGAGCAAGAGTGGCCAAAGGAAGACATGTCTGAACAATTTCCCGGAGGCAACATCACAGGAGATTTGGGACACAACCCGACCTCGAACAGTACCCGACGTTTGATTCGTCAAGGCCCGCATCGAACACGAGACTCTAGTGTCTAGTAGAAGAAGATACAACCATAAAATTAGGTAAAACTACAAAGTTCGAAATGCTGAATAAGATGAGATGCAGACCTCACTTCAAAAAGCTATTTTTAGACTGGGGTACCTGTACCCAATCCTCTTTTGCGTCTTCCTCAATATCTTTGAATTATGCAAGTAATAAGCCTAAAACTTTGTTTTCTGGCGTAACTTTCCATGCTAAATTAAATAAATCCGCCTTTTGAATCAAATAACCAATCTAATACCGCACATGAATAATACGCCGTTTGAACAAGGCCTTAGCCAAAGAACATACGGCCCACGCCACAAATTTCAATGTGGAGAGTTAAAATTAAAGAGTCGAGCTTGAGTTTAATGGTCCAAAATCTTTTATATTTTAAGGACAAATAGAAAAATAAGGATTTCGGGGGTATATGAGGACAAAAAGGAAATTAAAGAGGATCCGGGAAGTTTCTTGCTGCTGCACCCTCCAGGTTGGCTTTAAACAGCAATACAGCATATTTTGCACAACTTAACTTCTAGCATTTTGCAGCACTTTTCCCTGTTTCGATTCTCATTTTATTTTGCAAGTATTTTTCACTTTGATTGTCTTGTCAAAGTTGAACATACTAAATGACAAAAAAAGAGAAAATCATTTTGTTTGGTTTCTCAGAGTGAAATTTTGTTTACAATATACGTACCTTGAATACTTGCATTGGAAAAAGCTACTTAATATTTATTTCTGCTGTCTTGAGGGCTCTAGCATTACATTTCCTTTTGAAGACACATCAAAATAGTATGATGAATCTGTGAAGCTTGAAACAGACGTTTGACACTTGGAGACTTCACACACAACAAGGTTGAATCAATACTTGAATTAAAAATCTGACCGTTGTAGATTTGCAAAAGAAAAAATGCGGCGATCAAGGGTCTGGGCTGCAACCATGGTCATGCCCTATCTTGATGCAAATAGCGGTGGTGCAAAGGTTAAATATCATAAAAAAACTAAAAAGAGAGTTTTTTTTTCTGAACCATAGCAAAATCTTTAATCAATATTATAAGTTTTTGACATTATGGATGCACGGTTGGCAACAGCTTGAAGAAAAAAACAACGAAGAGTCGTTGAATTCCTTTTAAGAGCCATTGAGGCAAATTCGTGTTTTTTGGTGTGTGGGCCGTCTATTTTCGTCATTTGAATTTGAATATTCATCAAAAGAAATATCTTTCTTGAACAATAGCTGTAACAACATGGATGCAAATAGCCTGGAATGGAAAAAAGCGAACAGTTGTTGAACACCTTGTGAAGACACTGAGACAAATTCATGTTTTCTGTTGTGTGGGTCGTCTACTTTCGTCATTAGAATTTGAATTCGCATCAAAAGAGCGAAGTTGAAGCGATTTTGAAGTGAGATCTGCATCTTATCTTACTTTTGCTTGTCGAATTATGCCAGAAAAGAAAGTTTCGGGTTTATAACTTGCAAAATTTAAAAAATAAGGAGGAAGACCAAAAAGAAGACTCAGTACAGGTGCCCAAGTCTAAAAATAGCTTTTGGGGCGTTTTTGAATTAGGGTTTGTATCTCATTTAATTTAGCCTGGCAAATAACGCCAGAAAACAGAGTTTCAAGTTTATTACTTGCATAGTTCAAAGATATGGAGGAAGACCCAAAAGCGGATTGTGTACAGGTACCCGCAGGGCCACACTTCCCATTTGGCCCACCGGGTTTCGAGTTTCTTATCGAGCGCAAATGCACAACCTCAAAGTGATATGGATGATAAACTTCAAAAATTAATATGGATTATTCCATCTTATACGAACTGACATGGCACCCTGATTCCACGAAAAAAGGGAAGGATCCTTTGCAAGTGCCCTTTTAGACAAATTAAGTGCCCAATTTATGTTATATTTTTAAACAATCTTTTGGTGGTACAAAACTTGTAAATGGCTTTGAAAAAAGCAAACATTTAGTTAACAAAAGCTTTTCGTCTGACACTCTTCAGAGTTTAAAACGTCAGAACATAGTTCGAAAACTCTAATAGGCCAATCAGAAACACGTGCACATGACTGTATAGGTTGACCAATCAGTGCCGCTTGCCTATTGAGAATGTTACCAATGGAGTCCTAAGGTGAAAACGAACTCCTTTTGTCTACACAGTAGCGCTTTGTTCGTGGTTATGTAGATAGATTCTAAAACTGCTAGGTGGAACGACGATCGGGCTTTACCAATAATCCGAAACATGTCGCCATTATAGTTTACCTAAAGTGTCAGACGAAAAGCTTTAGTTTACTAAATGTTATATTCTTACTTTCGCATGACAGTGCCCTTTCTGCGAGCACTTTCTTTATTCAGGTACTCTTCCAAGAGACCTGTCTTTCCGCTTATAAAGGCGTCCTACGGCCCTGGCTCCTACGGCCGATGAAAAGAGGTATAGAATGGTGCACCCAAGAGATCTGACAAAAATCTGTTTCTATTTCGATTGTATTATCTAATATTTTGCCAAAAGGAGGGAAAAACCATGTGCAGCATCAGATCTGTTGACACTGTTGGCAGCAGACAAAGATTTGGGCGAAGTTTGTTTCTAGTGGAAAGAAATCTAGTCTACCATTCTCTAAGTAACTGTGCTCGGCAATTTCTTACCAAAGAAGACATGAAGAAAATTGAAAATGGGAATTTGGTCAAAAAATCGGTAAGTTGTACAGCGGGTAACAGCTTTGCTAAAGATATAGATCGAGAAACCTGATTCAGAATAACTTGGTGCCTGCACCAAATTATAGAGTCTTGTTTTTTCTGTGGCCTAAACTTGGCTCCAAAGGTCTATTTGTTAATGGAAAGTTTCTAAAAAACGTTACAAAAAAGAGAAATCAGCTGTAGAAGGAAAAGAAACTGCTGGAAAGAAAATTTTTGAGAATATGAGAATAGAAGAATCGGTAGATCAACGAGAAAGCTTCAAAATTGATTGCATCAATAATCCATTCCTACTAAGAAAGAGAAAATCTAGACGTTATTGTGAATTCTAACAAACTCGTTTTGACCAGTCCAGTTTGAAAGTTTTCAAATTCAGACCCTTTTTTGCATAATCTTTCACTTTTATTTGACAGTGCTTCTGTTGATATTTCGATGTTAATGTTTTTGTTAAAGCTTGATTCATATATTTTTTCTCCTCCATTTCATTTTGGCTCCTTTTTTAATCTAAAAAAACTTGATTAGGAGCTACAATTAAAAGGTTATTCCAAAAAGTTGAAAGGCCTTTCCTGTTACATGTCAACATTACAATAGACGAAATTATGCGACACATTGGTAAAAGACAGCTTGAAAATATTTCCTCGGATTTTCCTTCAGTCAAAATCAACTTAGATACAGTTTCTGGCCATTCCTTAGATACCATCTCTAAAACATTTCTTTCCGCCAACCATGGTGGCGGCCTTTCCTAACACCTTTCAAAACCTTTATTTTCGGTCCCTCCACTTTCAAATACGTTTTGCCGGCCCTGAAATGTCCTTTTAAGATATCAATTATCAAACTTAGTAAAACTTGACCAAGCAGCACTCCAAGAAGAGCTTCTAATGACACAATATTTAATGATATTGCTGCCATGGAAGAGGACAACATGAATGACATGCAAAAAGAAGAAGTTCAATGTATTCCTTGTTTAAAGAAGAGAGTCTCGTGCAAACGCCGCCTACCGGGTGCTTTCCAAACACTGTATCTGTCTAACCTACATGTTGCCGCTTTTTGACAATTGCCCATGTGCGATGACATTAAAGTTGTGTAGTACACAAACTTGGCATCGCCAAAAAACAATTTTCGTTGTTCTAATGTGTTATCACAAAAAGAGTGTCATCACAAAAAGACTATCACAAAAGGTTGGAATACAGAAAGGGGTTCTAATTTAGGGGAAGAAAGTTGAAGCGCTGGATGCCGATGTCGTAAGATTTGAACAAGCGCGTGATTATCGTCACGCTCGCTGAAAATTGAAAACAAACCAATTTTGAACAACCATCGAGCTACAAAATGTTTAGTTATCCAAAGAAGCCTGGATTTCGTTTAAACTATCCTTGAATGTTCACTTTTATCCTTTATCCATATAATCGCAACTCGCACGGCAATGGTAAGTAAGGCACAAATGTGGGCCAAGATTTCTCGAACTTATTCGTCTCATTGCCCTAACAAATATTGACGGAAATGATTTTAATAGCAGCCAAAAATTACTACAACATCAATTTAATGAAATTAGGTATTTATATAAAGGTATTAATCTTTATGTCTCTTTATGACACCAGATGAAAGTACCCATGTCAAAAAAGTAACTTATAACTTTTCCGCTCTCCCCTTTCCTACTGATATGATATGTCAAGGATCCCTTTAAAGAAAAACCAACTGTCACAAAAGTTCCTAAAATTATCTTCTTTTCGGACTTTAGGTGAAAAATGAAAGGCCTCGAAAATCATTTACGATTGCTACGAAGGCGCCTCCAGTGAAATTTTCCCGCCAGAATAATCCGTTGTGCTGAAACCGACATGGTGTACATATAAAATGTTATTAAGGTAAGTATTGTATCAACAAAATGAATTTTGTTGGGATAATTTTGAAAGTTTATATTATTGATTTAAAACTCATATATGCATCCGATAACACTGCTTCGAAATTCGTGAAGCTGAGCATCAATGTAGACTGGAAAAAGACTTTTAAAAAAAGTGAAACGTAGCAGGCATATGTCGTAAAGAATTATTTTTCGGTAATTGCTAAATATTATTTTTTATGATTATGTTTTAAGATAATTTTAATTTGAATGATCGTTATAAATTGACAGAGGTATGTTTAAAATATCATGTTAATGTTTTATTCGCCAAAACTTTTCTTAAGAACGAGATGGCGAAAAAACCAACACTGAAAATGTGCCCACATCCCCCTTCGACACATACAGAATAAAGGCAAATTTCCCAAAAAATCCTAGCATCAGGACTTTTTAGAAGGAGGGGTGGTAAAAATGCTAAAAATTTTAAATTCTAGCAAATTTATTGGTTCAAATCGATGGGGACTCTCAATTTTTGCGATTCCTTTGGCAGCCAATCAAGATTTGACGCCTATGCTGGTTTATAATGTTTTTCATATGAGGCCAAACACTTTCAACGATCTTTTAATTTGAATTTGATGACAGCAATGGATAAACTACTCTCCTTGTTTGGCAATAAATCTTTGTAAAACGGATTCCTTTTACTGTTGTAACTTTTCATTTTGTATTTGTATTGAGCACTCATTAAAATTGGTCTGGAAGGATTTCGAGCAGCAAAACCTTGCTCGGCGTCGAGTTTTGTGTCCTGAAGTGCCCCTAAGCGTAAGTGCCGTGAAGTGCAAAAGGCGAAATCTCTTCCCTCTAACGATAATTTTCCTGCCCGTCCAATTCTCGGTTGCTTTGCCATCGAACTACTCTCGTGAAAACATTTTTCATTTCTCACAGCTTTAATGTGGATGCACCTAACCTACTCCGCAATTTTTCAGCAATTCTGCTTCCCCCTGGATATTTTCTAGCGATACGCTTCTTATTTGACAATTTTTCTCCGGTGTGGATGGTCTATATTAATACAAAATTACTTTTTTGCGCAATTAATACATCGTTAACTATGTTTCCTATGGCGTCAGAAGTATTTTCAAGAATTTCCCGCCAATATAAAGGATGCCTATTGCACCTATTCATGCATTCAAATATTTGGTATTTGTGAAAAGTCCATAAAAAGTACTGCTTTTTTGACAAAGGTGGTGCAAAACTTTTTGTCATGTGTACATGCAGAGATTGCATGTATTGAGAATTCATCCTTGCGCCAAGGCATAATCTTGTATTGAACTTTTATTGATATTTCAATGTTATAAGATGTGTAGGCCAAAAGATACAGCTAATGTTTATTGTTGTTCATTTTCACATGTACTACATTAACTTTTTACTTCCTCAAAGCTAGAGTCCTAGAGACGTCAATAAGAATCCTAAAGATAGGTTTGCAGCATAAGAGGCCTAGCCACAGAAACAGTAAAACGAAGTAAAGTGATTAGTAAAGAGATATTTAACTCTCTTATGTCTCCATGGCTTCTCTCGCTTGGCTAACTGTTGTGCTTGTAACTTCTATCTTAAACGGTGTCACCTTGGAACTTTTTACCGCTAAAAGGAAACAACATATTGACTGTATGTTTTAAGAACAGAGTTCAAATGTTTCAGATTTACTTAATCAACAACTTGATTATAACAAAGGTGTAAGGGACGAAGTTTTGAGAGATAACGACCAAATAGAGTTAAGGTTGAATTTGGAAAGTACAGAAGAGGGATAGTGGGGAGGTATGCTTCGATTCATTGTAAAAAAAAGACAGAAAGTTGAAAGACAGAGAATGGTTGAAAGATATCTTTCAATGGGCTAGGGAAACGTTACTGACAGCAGAATCGTTAGGTCTATAAAGAATTGGTTGAGCGCTATTATGGCAAAAATTCCATCTTTCTTAGCTAATTGCAATGAAGAAAATAATACACACCCGTAGTGCCTCGTTTGTATCGATAGGAGGCCTGGCGCACTCCCTTTTGATTCGCCTCATCATAAGGCCTGAGATATCGTGTTCCCTCTTTCGTTATAATGCATAGATCAACGTTACTCCCAGAACCCTGAACAAAAAGAGGACATTAACTGAAGGATGTTGATTGATCTTATAACAGGTATAAGAAGATCGTCAGAAAAAGTTAAATATATGAAAAAAGTCAAAAGGACTGAGGGAAGGTTCTTACGACAAAATAACAACTGATGCTAGGACAGCCCTGCAGGTACCAACATGTCAAATTTGCTAATATTGAGATAAAAGTGAAAATAACTTTCCCAGAAAAATATCGTGTCAGCCTTGATAATGTTTACTTAAATTAACATGCCTTGACATGGTCATTCTCTTAAGCTCATAAAAGAACCCTGAATAACTATAAGCATATAAGAAGCAAGCTGAAAAAGCTGAAAAAGGCTAGAAGGGAGACCTTACCAGATCATTAAAAATGCCTGCCCTAATGCCATCCTGAACCAAACTCATTGCATCATCAAGCTGCAAGACAATTGAAAAGAAGCATGGTGTATTAACGCAAATAATGTTGCAAACAACCTTTTCATGGTACAAAAATTTATATGGCTCTTAAAAAAGCAAAACTTTTTGAAACAGACTGAAGCTTTTCGTCCGACACTCTTTAGAGGATTAAACGTTAGAACATCGATCGAAAACTATTAGAGAAAATATAACCGGCTGTGGATCGAAATAGGCCAAGCAGAAAGGCGAGCACAAGACAGTTGAGGTTGCCCAATCAGTGCCGCTTGCCCAATCAGTGCCGCTTGCCTATTGGGAACGTAACCAATGGAGTCCTAAGGTGAAAAACGAACTCCTTTTGTCTAGCGGTTTTTTCGTGCATATGTAGATGGATTCCAAAGCTGCTTAATGGAACGACGATCGGGCTTTACCAATAATCCGAAATCTGTCGCCATTATAGTTTTTGTTGCATAATCTGGGTGGTCATTTCCATTAAATGCTGCCCGATAGCAGAATCGCATGTTTTAGATGTAGTTTCAGATCGAGTCGAGTCTTAACTTGGACTAAATTATCAATGCCCTATGAGCAAGCCTTTTTATAAGGTTGATTTTCCTTTGTTTTGGGCAAAAAGAAATTGATCGAGACAATAACCCCCAAAATGTAGGTTTACGATATATATGTTGTTTAATACATTTTTATAATATTGCCAATCCTATATAAAAAGATGTTACCTCAAAAAAATGTAATCTAGCTCATAGAGGAGAAAGACTCACCTCCATGTCAGGCTTAAATCTGCTTTCGAACACCGACATCGCTGCAAGCGAGCCAGATCCTGTGATAAAATTGACAACATAAACAAAAGCTAAATTTAAAAACATGACGGAAAATAAGAATCCACCTTATTCTAACACTAATTTAGATAAATGATGATTTAACGGAATAAAACAAGAGTCAATTTTTTCTTTTAGTTGATTAACATGAATAGGAATTGCTACCTGACCGTGATGGTCTCATGGGACGTTCGTAATCGAATTTTTAGGTGTCCGTTTTGAAGCGATGCTTAAAAGTATTTTGGCATCATGAGGGTTTGGTGGTAAAAAGCTAGGATTTGTTGCGTGGTTTCATTGCTTTTGTATACCCTTGGTTAAAATAGGAGTAATTTAAAGTTCAGCCTAGCATAGATCTCACCTTCCTTTCTGAAGCCACATTTCAAGCGTGCTACTCGTTCTTTCCTAACCCTCCCACCTTAATTCTATTTCTTTATAACATCATTTGCATTATTGAACAACCAAGATGTTTTGAGTTTTTCCTGCATCGTGGAAGCTTCTTATATGTTCGGGAATCTTTAAATTTTTTGAGGTCCTGGTTCTTTAGTTAGGACTGGTGCATCAGTTCATTGTGGGAACAGGGTTATGTTTATCTATTTCCTGCCAAAAATAAATCTAAATTGCGGTTACCAAGGAATCCTGTTGGCACCCCCTTTCTGTTAGAGGTTTATGGTAGGTTGAGCGATTTGCGCCGATGCATCAACGGCCTAACTCGCTCTCAATAACGTGAAAATGTAAGCTCACCACTGGTTCACTAATTTCAACGGCGTGTTATTCTGTGTGAGCAATTCAGGTCCTGTAACTTGTATTATAAAGATTCTCGAAATTGGAAAATCAACTAAAAAAGTAAACTGGCATTATAGGCAAACTAAGAAAGGCGTTTTAATAATGTGGACAAATACAATGGGAACACATACCCATGGTGACGAATGGCAACTTTGCCGTGCTTCCATGAGGGTGAATCATGTACAAACTCGGGCCAGTGACATCAACACCACCAAGAACAAGGGCAGCACTGATGTGACCATGATACCTAACAAAATGATGTACACTTCATGCTTAATTTCATCTGATTAAGTCTTTGTGTAATACTTTTGGTGCCTTTGGGAATAATAAAGAAGCAGGTGCCTGTAAGTCTTGGTTCTTCATGAAATTGTGTCCCTTTTCATTCTTTTGTCCCTTTGGAATGCTCTTCCACTTTGCTTTCTTCTCCCATCCCTTCCCTCCCGTTTTAGTATAATACATAGTGTGTTTTATTCGATGTTAGGGCTCTTTTATATCGCTGGATTATTTTCATACTTCTTAAATTTGTATTTAGGATATACACAGCTATTTAAGCAAGTTGTGTTTCTTTTCCCCTCTCTTACCTTGGGGTAGACTAATGCATCGTTTCCCTGGTGACGAAAAACAAACTTTTCTTGCCCATCCCTTAACCAGAATTTAAGTTAGTTGTAATTTGTGCTTTTTAAATGGGTTAGATGGAGCGACTTGTGCCGATGCACCAACGGCTCAAAGTTGCTTCCTGTGATGACGGAATGTAGCCTCAAGACCTGATTTTATCTGAGGGATGTTGCAATGTCTCCTGACGGAGCTCATTTAAATTCAAGGAATTCACTTGTTGATGTTTTTTCCCCGGGTAAGAAACCAAACAAGTATTAAATCTTTATCGAGAAATGATTCACGGGCACCTGCCCCTCTACTGTGAATTGTGACCGAAATACTTTATATTCCCTACCAGAATTACGTATATTGACCTTGAATGCTGATAAAAAATTAATCAATTTCGTCGAAAAGAGAATCACAAACCGGTGTAACATCTGCTTCAGCATGGTTGCTGCTGTGATCACCCGTGGCTGAAACGTAAACAGGTCGTATGATCAGCACCCCGACAGTGTTCAATTTCAATAAACAAATCACATTTGCATGCTGAATTGAATGCTTAATGTTACCCATTTAACTGCCCACATCATCAACACAATATCACCAGTCGTGTAATGAGTATTGAATGCAACTCCCTATTTATACAATCAGTAGGGTAAACCTAGAAGCAATGTAAGAATCGTACCTGTCTACCAGTGGTCAAAGAGTGAAGACCAATATTAGCAGATATCAGCTTTGTAGTGTATTCTGTATCTGCAGCCGTGCCCGCACCGCAACAACTGAGGAATAAGAGAAAATATAGCGTCATGCATAATGCTTCTCAAGAAGTTCCTATAATAATTCAATTTAGCTAAGACACATTGGATTAATCCAATTGGGGAAAAAAAACCTGTAAAAAAGTGTCAACATGACTAGCAAAGCTATTTAAAAGCCATCCTTCTTTCTTCTCATCTAATTCCCGTTTCCAGTTTCCTCTAACAAACAATAACTAACAACTACACATTTAAAATTTGTGCAAAAAGCCGAGCTTTTAGAGCTTTGCAGCCATTATATCTGCTGTGTCTAATATCTAGAAGAAGCAGTATTTATTGGTAATACTTACTAGATATTTGGAGCTATGTAATGGATTTTGGCACAATTTTTATCTGCAACAACTGTATCCTAAGAGATAAAGTCCGATTTATTGAATTTACCTGTTATCCTGCCTTTGATATGCAGATGGTTATAAAAAATCTGATAGACTCAAATGATTAAATATAGTTGAAAAACAATCAATAAAGCTAGATGAAACAAAATGAAACAAAGTTAATGGTGTTGAAACTCGTAAAAAGTGCTTAAGCTTGCTATACTTCAAACAATGAGATAACGCCCAATGTTCTTTCGAAAAACTTTGAATAAAATTGTTCAAACCACTTTTCTGCTTTTACAATGAAAGGAAGCATTCACAATCCACAGTTTAGGATTATTAAAATGTTAAAAATTTGTCCTTTGGTACATAAAAAACATCGAAATTGAGTCACATTTACATCATACATTGCACAAAGATAATCACCATAATATAGAAGGAAGGAGACCCAAATATCTGGGAATTATATGCATTTGTAAACCCTTGTTATTAATATTGGTGTATGCAAAAAAAAGTTAGAAAAGTATTAGGTATTTCAATAACTGAAAAAAGAAAATCGCTTATTTATTAAGCTTGATTTCCAAAATCATAAAGGCTGGATATCATTCAATTTAAAAAGCTGATACAGTCATCATATCTTAAATGACAATCCACTTACTTCTGTAGCTCTAGTATCTGCACCTAAAACAATTCCATCTTTAAAAACTATACCAGCAATGGTTGTTCCAGTTTTTTTAGCCTTTGGGAAATGGCTGCTGGACGTCTGCTGCAGCAAAAATTCATTCCTTATAAAGAGAGGCAAAAATGTCATATAACTGTTTGAAAAGCAACTTGACAGTTTAGTTGAAAGAACACCTTCTTTAACTTTAAAAAAGTATCTAAGGCGAGATTGGATCCATCACTCAATATTTGTTAAACATTATTATGAATTTATTAAAAGGTTTAAAAACCAAAATATATATGTTAATATATATTTTTTTGTACCAGCCAATGGGTCATTTGGTCTCATCCATGGCTTGCACTGACAATTCTGTACAAAAAGAACAAAAATAAACAAATAAAAGGAGAGGGGTTGTTTTTTGTGTTATTACATGACAGACTGGCTGAGTCAAAGATGCCTTCCAAGGCATGGCAACAAAAAATCAAAGTACTCAAGCCATTCCTATGCACCTTGCACAACGCAACAGTAAAATGCCCACCAAGATGTAAAGACCCGCCCCACCACATACAGTGAGACAGAATCTTCACACCTGGGCCAACACACCTGCCATTTGGTGAGCCACAGTGCATTGAAGTCCTCTGAAGGTAATATCATGAAAACATCACAAACACCAGCCAACATATTTGACTCACCCAGCACAACTTAATTATTGGACCAAACAGGTGGCAGTGCAAGAGATTTTGCTGGTTACTTTCTACATAAAGTACCAAAAAACAGGTGCCAAAAATGTTAGTGAATTAAAACTTGGTGGAAAAAATTTCAGTCATATTTTTGTGTTTCGGTATAAATGTTGGTGAATATTTTAAAAACTTTGGTGGAAATAAAAAATTTCAAATAAAGAAAGGAAACATTTCCATCTTCAATGCAATCATAATAGTTACAAAAATCAAATATTTTGATGTCAGCCCAATAATGGAACAGAAAAGTAGGAACAAATGTCATAAACCCTCATTCAGAGAATGTATTTTTTATTTCATTTTTATAACCCATGAAGGAAAAAAATTGGAAGCATTTACAGTGAGTTCACAATGATTTTGATCGCATATCACAACAAGGAGATAAACAATTCTGATTGATTGTGAGTTAAAATTTTAGGGGTCGAAACTGAAATGGCTGAAACTTTAAAAAGAAATCATTGAGAGGAACGAGGAAACTCAAATTTTTTAGAAGTCTGGGGCAAAAGAGAAGAATATGAAGATGAGCTGGATATTTTATTCATTGAAACATTCACTGAAAATTGATATTTATTGGATGTAAAGTAGTACGCGAACAATATCATTTAATTTTGCAAAAAAGGTCATATCAGGCCTGGCGGTTTGAGGCGAGCGGTACAAGGGTTAATTGGATTATTTTTGTAACAGCAACTTCTCCCGTCATTGCATATTTTGCAATTAACTTTTTGCTTGTTGGTTGGTTTTTGTTATGATAGGCATGAACTTTGATCTATTTGGAAAAGGATAGTTAAGCGCAAGGTACGTTTGTAGTGATTAGAACCTTTCAATCTTAAGAAAACAGGCATATTTTCGGAAGGAAAGTCAAAGAAATTGGTAGGAATCGTAGATTGGGGGATATAATGAAACAGCAGGTCCCTTCCAACAATAGAAACAAAACTATCCCTCAAAGAGAACAGGGTACTTTGTCTTGCAGATCAAAAACGACAACCAAAACATGGTATTCCACTATCCAGTGGCATCTACTGAAAAACCCAGATTGGGTGAAAACTATAATAAGCGATTTCACAGTTTTTGCCGCCATTATGAATTGGCAAAAATGGCTGACACGCAGCAAACGAGCAAACTACCGCAGAATTTCCAGTCAATTTTGTAGTTAGAATTGCTGATAAGAAAGTAATCATCTAAAATAGAATTTAAATGTTCCTTTTTTACAATTAGCAACTCACAAACAGTGTTCCTTGTTGTTTTCCTTGTGATTTCACTGCTGACTTTGACCAGGCTGAAATCAGTCCCCTTTAACCTCTCGTACAAAAACTTCCGCTTTTTTATTCAAACCTTAGCGAAACTCATTCGTTCGTAAATGGAAAGCCTACTTACGATATGCCGTACCCCACAATGTTCCTAATTCCCAGCAATTATGCTGTGAAGAAATCTCCAAAAAAAGAGCAAGGCAAAAAAGGAAAATACTGACTTGAGCCCTCATTTATCAAGGAAAAAACTGGCTGATGAAGAAATGGAGAGCAGACCAGGAACTTTACCGACTTCAACAGATGTAGCAATGGAAAGGATACACCTAGATTTACAATTTGAGGTTCTGTCTAGAGAAACTGAAGTTTTTTACTGGATTTGAGAGTTGAGAGATTCTTAAACTGATTTTTGAACATTTAAAGCAAACAACAGCATCGATGACCTACTAGAGAGGGGACAAAACTACAAAACCCCAAGAAGAGCTTCCTGAATTAAAATCCACTGCCTTTGAGTCAGCTAAAGCATGAAGTTTACAAGAGGAGGGGTATGTGAATAGCCAATCGGAAGGAGTCAATAAGGATAGCATCAATTTCTACCTAGCAGATATGCCTCTCATGCCATACAGGGGAATCCCAAGTCCATAACATGCATCACGATCATAGAATTGGTCAAAATGTTTTCCAGCTCAAGATGGTTGTAAACAGGCTGGAAAGAGCGAGTTTCGCTAAGGGTTGAATCAAAATGCGGAAGTTTTTGTACGAGAGGTTAAAGGGGACTGATTTCAGCCTGGTCAAAGTCAGCAGTGAAATCACAAGGAAAACAAAAGGAACGCTGTTTGTGAGTTGCTAACTGTATAAAAGGAACATTTAAATTCTAATTTAGCTGATTACCTCCTAATTTTATCAGCAATTCTAGCTACAAAAATGACTGGAAATTCTGCAGTAATTTGCTTGCTTGCTCCGTGTTCGCCATTTTTGCTAATTCATAATGGCGGCAAAAACTGTGAAATCACTTAAGGCGACATGTTTGACAATATTGGCAAAGCCTGATCATCATTCCATCTAGCTATCTACAATATAAACATGACAGACCGCTTTTGTGTAGACAGAAGGAGTCCTTCGTTTTCACCTTAGGACTCCATTGGTAGTATTTTCAATAGGAAAGAGGCACCAATTTGACAACCTCAACAGTAATGTGCTCGCGTTTTCTGATTAGCCCATTTTGATCCAAAACTTGTTATTTTATCGTAGAGTTTTCCATCTATGTTCTGAGGTTTTATTCTCTGAAGAGTGCTAGAAGTATAACTTAAGTTTGTTTCAAAATTTGTTTTTCAAAGCCATTTTCAAATTCTGTACAACAAAAAGATTGTTTGGCAAAAGAATTGTTGTTTTTGTGTTAAAGTGCCAGTACATGAGACTGAAAGAGTCTGTTCTTTTTAATACTTCAAGTAAAGGGGGTGCCTAAGTCACAGTTAAAGCAAATATAAATTGAAAGAAATAAAACAGCATACTCCTGACTGAGGCTATTATAGGCAACCGACAGATACTAAAGGGGCTTAAGTCATCTGTCAATTGTCTTTAAAGTACATTCTATGTGTTACTGATTTAGCTCGCCTCAGCAAATGAGGGGAGTGATTCACAGCTCACCTATAAAAAAACAAATGGCCAGGCCTGTCATATGCTACCTGGATGTTTTCAAGTGGGCAGTGCTTAGCACACCTGCTCTATTTTTCCCAAGAAAGCCTGGAAGCATACCAATTTTCCCATTGCACTGCAAGAAGCGACTCTCAGTGTATGGCGTTCTGTTGCACTCTCTAGCGTAAATGTATTTTTTTATAAGAAACTGAGGTCTGGTGCTGGTAGGCAGTTTCTGAAATTTTCTGGCCATTTTGCTATCAAAAGTTTCTTACATGTTTCTTAAATTTCTTAGGTAATGAATTTTTTAAATGTGCTTCCAAGGTAAAGTAAATAGTTCACTCATATTCACAGATAAACTAATGTAATGTATTTTTCTTTTTATCAATTTATATTTGTTAACCTTAACTTTTGTCTTAATGTTGAAGAACTATATGATATTGATATTGCATTGTATATCAGGAAAATCAAATATCTGGGAGATAGAAAAAGAAACGAAAGCTTGCAATGATCGCTTCTGAATGGTAAGATAAATGGCAGAAGAAGGTAGGAAGACCAAAAGCCTCATGGTTCATGTATGTCTTTGAATGGATTGCACTTGCCAAAAATTGATCACAACTTCCAGAGCAGCATTGAATAGATCAAGATGGAGGACGACTGCATCCGCTCCGGTAATGCATAGAGCTTCTTTTTCTTATTCAATGTAATTTTATGCATGCAATATAATAGAGCAAATAGCTCATCTGAGTTCTCTTTATTTGCCTTAAGCTTTATCAATTATAACTATATATAATCATGTAGCCTGTGAGTAAAAGCTTGAATTTATTATAATTGAATTGAATTCAAAGAATGATAAATGATGGTGTATTAAATGTGCAATTGAGTGTGCAATATACTAAAAATGAATGTCAAGTGTAGCGTTGCAATATACAGTGATGTTAAATGTGAAGACTGTTTTGAGTGTCAACTCGGAAAATTAAAACTGCAAATTATAAAAGTTTCTTGGCTTTTTTCAATTTGGGTAGGGTTGTTTCTTAACTTTCGAAAAATTGAGCCTACCATTACTTATGACTGTTACTTACAAAAAATGTGTGTATTCTATTTACTTTCGCATGAGCAATATATTGTGGGCAGGCAACAAGTTCCCAGTCTGGGACTCTGCATCTTCATAAGTCAGAATGGAGGCTGCCAGGAAATCAGTTTTTCAAGGCCGAAATCAATTTATCGAGATCAATTTGTTAAGAAATCAATTTGCTAGCTTTTACCTTAATAACTATAGGCCTAGGCCTAATTTCTATTTCATACAGCATAAGGCCCAGTACTGGGCCAGAAAACCGTCTGGTTAATCTCAGTGTCTGTGGCAACATCTCCATCGAATTAAAAATATGATATAATGTAAAAAATTTAAAGTAAATTTTAATTTTTTCTCAGATATTAACGCAATCCTATCCTTTTGAGTAACTGGAATTACAATGAATTGGGGCTGAGGTTTTTTCACCTTTCTCGGCAGCTAGGCTTATTGGGGTCAGCGGCTCAGTCGGACACAGATAGAAAATAAAACACAAAATGCATCACAAAATGGTAAAGATACCTGCGACAGTTCTCAAATGAAAAACCAGACTCCTCGCTTCCTTTATCTGGACAAAGTATTGACGTCGCCATTTTAGCTTCGTGCTCCTGACTCAGCAACAACAGCAGCAGTTTTCATAAAACGCGTTGGACTATGGGAAATACTCTGGTGCTGTGGCACTTGTTGCTTTACAGGGGTCAGAAACTACGGTCAGAATCAGAATCACAGAATATAACTAAGAAATCCCCCTTCAGAACTTATACAAAGAACTTATAAAAATAAACTTATGCATCATTCACGGAAATTGCGAGAGAAAAAGGTTTTTGGGGATGAAAATGGGGTAGTAAATCTTTTACAAACAACCCCTACTGCATATATACTCTTAATTGCCAGTGTCTAGAGCATCCGTCTTCATCACTACCCAGGGTCTCTCCTTTTTCTTCAAAGCTCTTACTTCTTAGAGGCTTTCGTTCCCAGAGTAGCAATTATTATGGTTTATACTAACGTCCGGCTTAATCATTTTGAACCCGCAACTATCATCCTCGAGCGGCAACAGGGACGAAAAAAGTCCCCTAGTTAGTATGTTAAAAAAGGCCCTAGACCAAAACTAATAAATCTGTAAGTCAGGAAATTATCATATTGTGGTATTTGAGTGATAAATAAATATTGTCATTGCACAAATAAATTCAGAAGACTTGAACAGGCGTGATTTCTGAAAACTTTTGACCAAGAAAAAATTAGTTAGACAAATAACGTGACAAGGGGTTTATCAATTTGTTCACCATGATGCAACAAAGGCCTTGAAAACTGGAGTGCGATCGCAATTAAAACTTAGTACATATTATTTGCCTTGAATTGTATGTCAGTTATGAAAAAAGAGAACTCCCTATACGAAGCTTATCGTTTTACCCTTTTGGATTTTTACCATTCTTTATCGTTGCGTTATCATCGTCATCTTGGCGCATCAGTAGAAGATGCAGCGGCACCACATCAGAATTTCCATTAAAAGTTCTGACAGAGATTTTACGAAACGATTTTCTAGAACAATGGCATTAAATAAAGTTTGCAATATTTCAAGAATTTTTCAAACGTAAAAAACCAAAACCTTATAAAAAATATACTGCAGATAAAGATCCTCCAGGCTGAATTCTGAAACCTCCAGAATGTCTTTTTAAGTGTTCCAGGCTGGATCGGAAAACAACGTGAATATATAGAGTTTGTGACAAACAGAGAACTAGTTTACCGACGAGAAGCACAATAACCTCGAATAAAGTTTGAGAAAAAACTTAATACAAATTTGTTAGTTTTCAAATATAGTTAAACTAAATTTTACTTGAACCATGTCTGAACTTAGATTATCAAATAAAGGAAAATGACACCGTGATACTGTTAAAATGGGAACTGTCACTTTTAATGTATATAAAATCAATATTACATTGACGTTTGCTTTTAGAAGTGGTACTTGAGATTGAAACTACATTTTACAACAGAATTCGGAAAAGGCTTGAATCTGGGTAAGCAGTCTGCCCACCTTGTTTAAACATGTGCAACTTTTGACAATACTGATAGCAATCCTATACGATTCAATATGCTAACTTGGCTTCAGAAAAATTCGCAGTACAGTACAGCTGGTTAAAAAACAAAGAAGATTGTCACTGCAAAACAAGAGAATTTAAAGCATTTAAAAGTCTATCGTTCAACATTCAGGAGGGGGGGGGGGCTTGTTTTTACTGGGGTAATCACAGACGAGTCTAGATAAAAAAATCAAACTCTATCACTATGTTTTTTTCTGGGAATGCAAGTTTCAAGGAATTTACCAGCAACATGTACATGTTTATTTATGATTTTAAGACGATATGACAACTAGATACTGTCCCGATTGAAAACGACAAAAAATTACAACAGTTGAGGGACATAAATCTTGATCCAGCCAGTAATTCTCTTCATATTCGAAATACTAAATATATTAGAACGACGGTGAAATCGCAAAAATATTTACAACACTACCCATATTGTCAGTTAAATCTACACTGAAATAGTGTACCCCTTGAAAAAGATCTTTACTTTATCATATAAGTGACTAGCCTCTGGGAAAACCAGTTGGTTCTGCGAGCAGGCTGATAGGTGACACGATAAAATCTACACCCACCTTCATATTTCAAAGCAACTACTGGCTCATCCGTAAAAGTGCAAAAGAGACTGACTCACTTGACGATAGGGAAAGAGCAAGTCAGATTATGACATGAACGTGTTCATTTAAATCTTATCATCACATTTTCTCTATTCACTGTAATTACCGAATTATTTCCTATTATACGACTATAAACAATTAGCTCGTGAAGAATTGGCTGTTTAATACCTTTAGATGATTACACAGTTAGGCAAAACCAGCGCTTGCTTCTCTATCTAAAAAGATATTACATCGTGAAATTCGGAAATGAGCCGTCAACATATCTTGAAGCAAAATAAGCTGCACTCGGGAATCATTTTAATCAATATGCCAAGATACTTCCGATTCCAAATTAAATAAAAAAATAACCACTGTGAAGATACTTTGAAAATTGACTATTCTATTTATATACATTACTAAACAAAACGAGCGATTTAAGAAATTTCTGATAAGAAGACGGCCGCAACTGCAACTATACAAACACACTAATACAAAACGATGGCTGCGTCAGGTTCCTTGCGATGCCTTGAGGGTGCTCATGCGGTACCCCTTGTTTTTTATCCCCGAGCCTGTATCTGTTACCATGGTTATGCTTGATCCTAAAATTAGGCAGAAATTTAGCAATCTTGAAAAAAGGATTTAATTCAAAACATAATAAAGACTTTTGCAGTTTTAAGATACGGGAGATGACAGGCAGGCAAGTTGAGTGATAAAGTATCCGTGAACTAGCCTTTGATCTTTTCAAGAAAAGATGGATGGAACAAACTGCAGCAAGGAAATCTATAGGCATGTCAGGAAATTAATTGGACATCTTATAGAAAGCTTGCTTTTAAAAGATGATTATAAAGGTTCATCTTAATTCTCTTGTCAAACGTGAAATACTCAATATTTTGACACGGATTCAATAACTGACGCTAAATATCGCAAACAAAATCTAATCTCCTGATCGAATTAAGATCGACAAAATATGAGCAATGGCAATTGTTGAAAATGATAACACTTACCAGAATCGAGAATGTCATCATCTGTGGACACACGCTTCTGCTTCAAGTGCATGTAGTACCAAACAGCAAGGGCGCCACATATGCAGCCAAAAATTGCCGATACAACTGGTATGATGTAGCTCTTGGCATCGCTTGATTCTGCGTTGCCAGTGCTTTTGCCTAATCAGTTAGAAGGAATCCACGTTAAACCTATTTGTTAATTCCACAATTCGTAATCTAATTCCACATTCAAATATCACAAATAGTCACATAAACACGAGAAATTTAAGCATACTTTGATCAGCTATAACGGCAATGCATTCACAATCAGGAAAGAACAGATTGTAGCGGCAAGTCAGGTCAATATAATTTCATCATTATGAGCAATTTTCGGTTTATTTCAGCTACCTCATATGCTATTTAAATGCAGGCTACAAAGAATTTAACGCTGTAAATCTGAGGGTTCCTCAAAGAATCTAGAATAGAGTGCGAAAATTCCAAATATGTAAAACAGGTACAGTTTTGGCCCGCACTACATGTTAAGTTTAACTTTAAAATTTTGAAGAACATATCAATGTAGAACATATGTTACCTCCGCTGGGAGGTGCTGGCCCGGTGCTTGATGGCTCTGGTACTAAATGGAAAGAGACATGAATCAGATGATAATAATAATAATAATAATCTCTATCAGAAAGCGCATCGAAGAAAAATGTCATAATGCAATATGCTTTCTTTATTAGGGAAAAAGTACAAATGGTCCTGTGGTGACCCTGTCCAAGAATAGGGAAATCCCCAAGCCATTAACTTTAGTTGGAAACCTAACCAAAAAAATCATGTTAAACACATTAAATAAAAAGTTCGGAAAAACCAGCTAGGTAAAAGCTCAAGGAGGTCGAGATATAGAAGCGAAATATTAGGAACAATTTAAAAATGACTTACTTGAGCTTTTAGTGGGTTGGGTAGACCCTATACTGCTTGTTTGTGGCGAAGAACCTACAAAAGAATAAATAAGAATAAAGAATAGCAGCCATCTGACAAAAATGCTAACAGCTTATCAAGAAATTTTATGAAAATAGCTTTTAAAATCATAATATAATGGCTTGCATGCAGCTGTAGGAGAAATTTGTTCAGAGTCTGCACGTCAGAGTTCACAGGCTGTAAAATAAGTGATACTAGAGAAATAATCAATTTGTTTCAACCGTGCATTTCTTACACTGTTTTCAAGTAGAAACAAAATTTAGAATCGTTCAAATCATTTCGACCGACTCTAAAAGAGAAAAGCAAACACTTTCTTATTGGCAAACAAGGTCAGCCAACATTGTGGTACAATTGAACAAATAAAGGCAAAGAGCTGATTGCACAGGTATGGTTTAATTCAAGGCCAACACAACAATGAACTATTGCAGTAAATAAATTTCTTAATGAATACAACTTCCTTATGTACAACAAAAATGAAAAAGCAAAGTAAAACCCCTAAGAAGCATTCAGAACCGAGTCAAAATCGATATTTTCTAAGAAACATTCAGTACTGATTATAGATACTGAGCAATATTTTGAGGTGTCAGGCAGCGTCATTGATGGTTGATTTCGAAAGCATTATGGCTCGCAAACCACACTGCTTAACAAGACCAACAATTTGAAGTCCCACTACAGTAAAACCCCACAAACAAGAAACAATTTTTCTAAAGAAAAGACTGACTAGGTTCTTATAAATGGGGTACTCGTGATATTTTCAGGGTGTGGCTCTTATCGCAAGGACACTAACAACTATGATGCACAAGATAAAATTAACTAGACTTGAGAATGGCCTGACTGAATTTCAAATTGTAGAGGATATGGTTTTCTGTTGGGGACAAACCAATTTCAATCACAATATGAAAAAATGAAAATAAAATGACATGGCTCTGAATATCAATTAATCAAACCACAATGACGACTTGAAAACTATACTTTCAGACTTTGAGAATTTCATGCTTTATTTAATATGATGTACAATCTCATAAGAACATGGAAAGGAATTAGTCTGTTTTTGGTTCTTATCTTTGGGTGTTGTTTTCCACAAAATCAGTCTGTAAAGTCTTATTTTCCTATTTTCTTGTTTGCGGGGTTTTACTGTACTACAGGATGAATCTTCCAAAGAAAGCGCGCAGAATAAATAGGAATTACCAATGCGGCTGCTTGGCTGGGTCACGGCTGCGCTGCTTGATTTGGTAGCCGCTGCGCTGCTTAAAACCTGAGGCAGCGGAGAGCCTAAAACAGAAAGGTACAAAATACGTGAAACTGAATAAAGCCTATTAAGACCATAGTACTCCCAAAGGGACTTCACAACCTCTTAATGGTAATTTGTATTTTAGTTTCGTGGACAAAGCTTTAACAGTATTTAACGAATCACTGGAGAAACCCTACCAATAAAGGCCGACGAGCAATAGCTTTCAGACCCAATCTAGTTAGAAGTTTGAAGCTAAGCCAACAACATAATTCACTGTTCTTATGCTGAAGATAATTAATCTTTGTTATGGTAAGTCTTCTTCAAAAAATATACCATAAGTTTGGCATTTCGTGAGACTCTTCTGCAAAATGAAATTTTTTATGATTCCACTCGTTTAAGAATAGGAACAAGATTACTTTTCTTAAGGTAACTAACAACAATTCTTTCAATATTGTCTAGCAGGCTACGAGGTCACAGCAGAAGTTCACAAACGTTCAGCAAACGAAAACACTCTAGGCAACAAACTATAGCCCTTGCAATGAAAGCCTACGAGCAGCTAGTATTATATAAACGTAAATGTACAATCATTGCTCTCGGACTCACAACGTAGATTAAAATAGTGTACATAATCATTGAAACCAGGTTTCCATGAAACTGTAAATGAAATATTCAATGGAACATTTAATGAAATCAACTTTGGTACAGCGTTTACATATATTCCCGGTTCGCTGTCTACTTGAAGCCTGCAAAAAAAGTATCGAGGAAAAGGTTGTACATGGCCAAGTAGCAGGGTCCTTGGAGGAAGTTGTTCTTTTTCTCTCAAAGAGCGCACACCTATACATCCTTGTCTTCTTCCCTTGGTAAACATTTCATTTCTATGTTTTATCCATACAGTGTAACTCTCTTGTTGTATACATTGGTCTAAGGCTTCGTTGTCAAAGAAAAGCAACACCAGTTGCACTGTGTCATTTGGTCTGCCATCCTTTAGCAACTAACGCTTCGGAGCAAAGTCAAAGAAAGGACAGGCTTGAAATTTTGAAGAAACACACAATTCTATTCCATGAACATCTTACAAACACATGGCTTCTTGACGACTTCGTGCAATGACCCTGAATGTTGAATTTGGATTCTCGAATATTTCTTTCAAATATCTTTATATCTTTCAAATGTTTCTTGCGCCAAAAACTTTAGCTGTTGGACTCAATCGAATACTCAGCTGAGCGAGATATTTGAGAACACAATAAACCCGCAAGCGTTGAAATCTGTAGCAAAACATCTGTGCAAATATACCAATACAGAGCTTTGCTTGCAGAACAAATAACTCCGAAATTTTCCTGTCAATTGCTTCAGGCTGGATACGACCCTACGTCGGTCCGTTTGAAGGCGTAAAAAAGCTGGAAAACTTGAACGCCTTTCGGATTCCTATGAACCACTCAGGCTAGCTGTTATCAGGTGTGGTAAGTTGACGGGCGAAGCTAAAGATTGAAACTTCCCTCAAAGATGTTACTTTGAAACCTTAACAGTTAGAGCCGATAAATTCCCTCTCAAGCGTTTATTTAGATGCAAATACAGGCAAAACGTTGTCAGCTTGAGACCGTTACGTCACATTCATTATTGGAAGCTGTAGTTAAGAGACAGCTGAGATTTGGCAGCAACAGAATTATAAAGGGAATATTAGATTTCTCTTAAGAAAAGATCACAGTGGTAAGAAACAGCAGACAGAAGGTTTCTATTCGTGTGTCGTTATTTGAATTATCAAAAGATCAAAAGACCAAAAAGGAGTCAAAAGTAGTTGCGGGATTATAAAGTACAGAAATATCAAGGCACAGTAGAGGGTAAGATTATGCTAAATATGACAGTACAAACCGAGTGTGGAGGCAGCTTCTCTTGCCAACGACGTGGAAGCGCAGCTCTTTGTTGCTTCAACAGAATATACCGATACGATTGTAGATGTTAGAACTACTGTCGTAGTTTGGGCAGAGCAAGACGTTAAAACAGAGCGAGAATAAGCTGAAGAGGAAGAAGTCGGTAGCACTGAAGTACTTGGTGATGGACAAGGCGCTGCCAAAATTCTCATCTCTGTTATGTTTTGCCGACAAGATTCATACTTGCGTTGCTGGAGTCTAAAACAATGAGTCTTGTTTGTAAGGTACTTGAGTCCCCCACTCACATTTTGCCACAGTGGAATAGCTAGAAGGAGAGAAAAAGGTTCTTTCAGAATCAGCTCGTTGCCGTTGTCATGGGAAGGTTAAGTGCAAGTATTCGTATACCCTGTCATAAAGCACCGGTTGTTGCAGAAAGAATTTATACGATAAAACAGTTCCAGTATAAAGGGATGGCGGTGACTTGATAACACTGGCGTAAATGGCAGCGAAGAAAGGCAAGGGAATCGTTACCTTCTGCTCGCGACATTGGAAAAACCAAAGCAATATGCAGTCCATTATGCAACCGGTCGGGTGTGCCCGTCGGGCGTGCCGGTCGGGTGTGCCCGTCGGGCGTGCCGTGGGAATTTATCGAATTCCATCTTATTCATCTATAAACCTTTACGGAAATTAATCGAATATTTTTTTGCAACTAATGTCCTTCCACCCATGTCTTATCTGTAATCTTTATGCATTCAATGTCAGTAGTTGACAGAATTAAGCTCGGCGCTTTGTTTTTATCGAGTCTTTTATCATATTGTCACAAAAGGCCCTGGTGATCTGAGTAGGAAAAAGTTTTTCCGTACTGTGAGACTACAAGATACAGTTCGACTCGTGAAAGAAGTGCTACAAGCCTAAAAAATGGTTATTTGCCTGTTACCAATGGGTCAATGATCCTCAAAAGTAAAACACTGCATAAATTACAATATCAGATCAAATAGCTTTATGGCCCTTTTATCACAGCATCTCAATAAGTAAAAAATTAAAAATAACTGCGACTTAAGGACAAATAAGGATTGCAGATAGCTAGACCTTAAAGAAATTCATTTACATCGACTTTACTTGGTTGAAAACTTTATGGAGAACTCTTTAATTAGAGAACTCTTGGGAACTAGAGAAAAGAACCTCGCGGTATAGAGAGCCTTATTAAATAAGACCTAAATATTGCTTTTCGTTAAAAAGGGTCATTAATTTTGAATTACATGTAGAGCTAAAGCCTAAAGGCACGTGACACTGGTAAAATTGGCTTACAGCCACTCGACCATCTGCGGTTCACCAATCAAAATGCGCACTGAAAAAATCATGTGAACAGTTTCCGCCTTCCTACAAGTTAACAAAATCCCAGCGCAGAACACACTGGTTCAAGATGGCAGAAGATGCTATAGCTTGGTCTTCATAGAAGGCTATAAATGAATCAGTTGTTTCAGAATCAAAGATATCGGTTATCTGGAATCTTCCTGCAGCCATTTTCCCACTTAGTGTCTTCGGCAATGGTCCGAATTTTTCCATTACATAGTTTCGCGTGAACAGTTTACAATTCCTTTAATCCACGCATGCTCTGGTTAATTTGACCCAAGTTTTTTTGGATTCGCTGTACTTAAGCATGTCAAATGCCTTTAAGGAAAATTGCCGACATTAATTTGGAATTAAACTTTCAGCAGAACTGAAAGGAAGGTGAAATGAATTTTGTGTGTTTGAATTTGTCTCTATAACTACAGTGAGAAAATGTTTCAGATAATTGGCAGAACCCGGTCGTCGTTCTATCAAGTAGTTTCAGCATCGTTCTACATGAACATGAGTAAGCACGCTATTGTGTAGACAGAAGGAGTTCGTTTCCACTTTTTACCAGGGAAGCCACCCTGATTGGCCAGCCCTTACAATTATCTGCTCTGTAATATTCTGCCGTTTGATATTTAGTGCGTCAGGCGAAAAGCTGAAGTAAACTTTAGAATGTTTGCTTTTTTCAAAGCCATGATTTTGTCTCAGAAAAACAAGTATCACAACGTCTGTGGGACGGAAGCTGTTCAACCTCTTAACAGCAAAAACCAAAGAAAACTTCCGCCATTCTAAGTAAAAAATCCAAGGGGCTTGCGTCATTCCACCGGTTCAGTGTAGTTAAGATGGCTCTCTAAGTATCGGAAAAGAAAGGTACAAGTACAAGAAGATTTCATACACTTTATTTTTGGCAACCATACCTCCGAACAGCCAATTTAATGCAAAGTTCGACGATTGTAAGTATACTGAAGCCTTTGCTTCGGCAGTGGAGATATTTTGAAAAAGGCAAAAAATGTTTGGATGAACATGAGCAAAATGAAGTATAATTTTACTTGCAGTAAAACAAGAATAAAGTGCAAAATATGGTCATTGAGCAAAGTACACCAAAGTCGCAGTGGACTAAATGAAGAGCTCGTGAACAAAGTGGCGACATCTTTGAAGAAAACAACACATCAATGCCGAGCATTACAGTGAAAAGTTCCTAAGTGAGAAGAAACACAGTAAATGGGTGAATGTGAGTGAGAAAATACTCGAGACTTTGCATAGATAAAGAGGCCAAGCACATGGTTCACTTAAAGATAAATTTGTTTCAAATAACGGAAGCCGAGATTTGTTTGCAAATCTAGAAGTAAACAGATTAAAGAGGTTACAGAATTAGTACTTAAAGGACTAACTCAAAAATTACGTGTCTTTCTGTATCACAAACAATCATTTAGCTTGTATCCAAAATGAAGACGAAGGAGGCATTAGGAATGGAGACGTTTTGGAAGAAAGCGAAAAACATGCTGCTAACAAAGGCAGAATTATCTATATAATCCTTGCGAAAAAGTATCACATGCGGTTCAGTCATGTAGAAGTCCGATGAATCTTAGCATTACTACGAGCATGATTATTTAATCAGAATAATAAAAAAGCTAGATGCAGAAGGCAAAGAAATTATTCTCACTGGCGATACCAACTGTGATTATAAAAAACCAAAAGTTTTTCATGCAGTGTTTATCAAACATGAAAAAATGAAATGGTAAAAGCAGAATACGTTTCATGCGGCGGGGATCGCGCACAATGTCTTTTGGAAAGTTAATTCAAGGGAAAGGAAAAAGGTACTGAGCGTAGGCACAAAGTAGACAAGTGTCTATACTCTGTAGATAAACACTGCATGAAAAACGGCCGTCGAATCTAGCAGATCCTTATAAAGTCTAAAATCATTTTCTAGAAGAACAGCAAGACATTGTACTCACATGGTGGCATAGTTGTTGGTGGAGCTGTGGTTGGGGGGCATTGCACCCTGTATATCTCCAATTTCGTGAAGTTGTACTTTTCAAGAGAGCCAACAGTGCAGTTTTTGAACCTTTTTCGGAAGCAACTACCAGTTTGGTTGTAAAATGTCTGCGTCCCATCAGTCCATGTTTCGTCACAAACTAGAGAATATGGAATGCAATTAAAAGTGTTCTTTCGGACCCTTATTATGACGCTTTGCACTCTGAGGAATGTCAGACGAAAAAGCTAAAAGTAGTATGGTACACATATTAAGGTCAGTTGGGGATTGAATTAAATAAAGCAACTGAGGTTAAATAATTGTCAGTTATCGTCTCAAAGATTCAGACAGACAAATTGCCTACATATATCCTTCTATTAAAATCTGAAGAAAATTCCACCATATTAAAAAACAAATTATTATTGGAAAGAAAACTGGAGAACATTTTCCAGCATTTCTCTCGAAACACTAAACAATGCATGAAATGTTACGAAAAGACATATCACAGAGTAAGGAATTTCTAATCAAGTAACATCGATACATAAAATTGGCCTTACTTGGCTCAGTAGTTGCCCGGGGGCATTCAATGCTTTCTTCCTCTATGCTTGATTTAGGGCAGCCAGTCACGCTATTACTACAGTTCCGTTTGACAATCTTTTTGCAAATTTGCGGACTTGCTTTCGCTGCATTATTGGGTGGGAATAAATAGTCAATTTTATGGTAGTGGGTGGTATTCTCCGATGTAATGTTTCCACAGCCTGGAAAAATCAAAAGGAAGGTTACAATAAACAAAACCAAATAGACAAGCAGTGAACAAATCCGAGGGCTCCTATGACCACTGATGGTCTCGAAATTCAAGATAGCCCCCTGTCACATAACGTCATTAGGTTATATTTTCATGCGCTTCATGAATGCGTACAAGTGATGTCTGCAACTTCGACCATCCATTCCCTTCCTTTTACCAGTCTGAACTTCGAATTTTTATTGCTCATTCGAAAGGACTGCAGACATATACCATAGTTATTGCTCTGAACCATTTCAAATTAGAACCAGAATTCATAACCGGAACCAGAACCGAAATCTAACAAAGAAAATCTGAAAAATCTCGCAACATTATTCTAGTAAAAGAATGCTGATGGCAGCAATACAATATTTATTCGATTTTAGCTGCGGTTTTAAATCAGAGCGGCTTATAAACGCGGGGAGGGGCGGGGCTTATAAACGCAGGCGGCTTATAAAAGCGGGCGGCTTTTAAAAGCGGGCGGCTTATAAAAGCGGGCGGCTTATAAAAGCGGGCGGCTTATAAAAGCGGGCAGATTATAAAAGCGGGCGGCTTATAAAAGCGGGCGGATCATAAAAGTGGGGGGATTACACTACTTCATCCAGACCCTGCCAAACTTTCCTGCTACCTTGAAGCCGACAATGATAAGGTAGAAGATGCGAATAAAAAACTCATGTACGGTATTGCTGATTCCATGCTGGACGAAATCGTGGTTGTCTAAATTCTTATGTCTACTTCTTCGTTTAAGTTTTTTTTCATTTTAAAATCTTTATACACGAATTCCCTATCAGCTATAATACAAATATAAATTAACTACCTCTATTACAATTACTTCTTTAATATGTATAAAATAAAGGTGTTGCTGTTCTACCTAGAGATCGTGTTTTGTTTTGGGAATTTATTAACTTTGTAGGAATCCCTTCAAGTTTCTTTTAAAAATGGAAATTGTGAGGCTCATTCTGTTGTTTCTTGAAATCTCATTCCATGTTTTGGCCCCAGAGTGAAAGAAACTTCACATTGAGAATTCCAAATTTTGCCTTGGGATGTCAATATCAAGCTGATTCCTTGTCGAATACCTGGATATCTCTGATCTAGTGATAAATTTACCTTTAAGGCTGTCAGGGCAAAGCCATTCATCATTTTGTACGTCATTATGGCCCTGTCATATTTAATTAGATTCGAAATTGAAAGCCATTTACAAATCTATAATTTAGCACTTTCAATTAATATTTGAGCCCTGTCTTGAAGTCGCTGAAGATGTTTAAGCTTTGCAGCGGACAGACTTCCCCATAATTCATCACCGTATCTTAGATGGCTCTCGAAAAGTGCCCTGTAAACCTGGTCCAATTTCGACTGTGGGAGTATGTTTTTAAGTTTCCTCAACGAAGAAAGACCACTTTTAAGTTTATACTTGAGCCTCTTGTACTGCTTGTTCCAAGATAGGTATTCATCGATAGTGACCCCGATATAGGCTCGTTGGACTTTTTCTCCATTTATCTCCACGTTCATCTCCCCCTGGATATGGTTAATTCGTCTTTTATGACTAATGACCATATACTCAGTTTTATTGGTGTTCAGACTAAGCTTATTTTGCCGCATCCACTCCGCAATGTTCTTACCCTCAGTTTTTAAGTCATTGCACAGCTCCTCAATGTCCTTTGCAGAGCATGTTATGCTAGTGTCGTCTGCATACATATTTGTTGAGCTTTTTTCTAAGCATCGCTCAAAATCGTTTACGTATAGAATGAAAAGGAGGGGCCGGAGGCACGAACCCTGGGGAATACCGCACTGAACCTTCTCTTGTTGTGAACTGGAACCATTGATTTGACAGTATTGTATCCTATCAGTTAGGTATGATGTAAACCACTGATGAGGGGTTCCTCCTACCCCATATTTTGATAGCTTAGAGAGCAGAATTTTGTGATCCACAGTGTCAAATGCCTTCCTTAGATCAAGGAAGATGCCAATATTTATTTTTCGTTTATCGGCATTTGAGAACCATGAGTCAGTAACATTGAGTAATGAGGTCAACGTGTTATGCAGCTTTCGAAATGCGCACTGAGATTTGGAGAGCATGCTTTTCTCCTTCAAAAAGGTGGAGACTTGATCATGTGCGATTTTCTCGATTAGCTTGGAAAATACCAAGAGTATGGATATTGGCCGGTAGTTGTTCAAATCAGTTTTCGATCCGGTCTTAAAGACTGATGTTACCCTGGCTACTTCCCATCTGTTCGGAAAAACACCGCTTTCAAGAGTGGAATTGAAAATAGCTGCTAATGGCTTAGATAAAATATCAGCAGCGTCTTTCACTAGTTTTACTGGGATCTTGTCATGTCCTGCAGCTTTAGAGCATTTTAACTTATTGATCTCGTTTTCAATGAGTTCAGGATCAACCCTTTGAAATTCACAACTAGTTTCAACCGGCAGTCCCTTGCTGGGTAGGTACTTCAGTCGGTCATCGCAATCTTTGGTTTCAATATTTTCGGCTAGTTTTAGGCCTATGGAGATAAAGTGCCTGTTAAAGGCCTCTGCAATTTCATCAGGTATCTCAACACGTTGACACGTTGACACGCTGACTATGATTTGAATGTTTGTCTAATACCTTGTTTATTATTTTCCACGTTCCCGTCGGACTATTTGAATTGTCAGCAGCTTTTTTGAGTTGAGAAGTTACTCTGTTTCGAAGCTGCTTGTATCTTGGCCATAGTGCTGGATCTCTCTCAGCCAGTCTCTTAATACGGTCTCTCTCGCACATTAAATTCTTGATGCTTGCCCCGTCTTAGCGGTCCATTTTTTCCACGGGGCGTGCACATCCAAGGCAGCGAGAAAGAGATCGTAGAAATCGCTAGCCATCTTATTAGGGTCATCCGATCTACATGACATAGCCATCTCCCAGTCAATACTACGCAAGTCATTAGGGAAAGAGTCACGGTCATAATTTTTCAAACTGCGTGGCTCTGTCTTAAATTTCACGTCATTGACATGAACTCTAGCGTTTAATTTTCTAATACCGTATGTCATATAGTGATCTGTTATACCGATTTTTACGACCGATACATTACAGAGCTTGTTGGGTCTGTTTGAAGAAAGGTGAACTATTCATAATTTGGTGACTCTAGTTTCACCTGTAGAGCTGATGGTCGTGGATACCCTTGTAAAATCCTTGATGAGTTGCTCAAACTGATAGCCCGAGTAAATCAATTTTAGTTTCCTCGTGTTACTGTCTTGTACACAATAAGATCTTTGCAGCCGTTATTTCAAGCCAAGTATCTTTGCATGGTTATGTTGATGCAGCTAATAATCAAGGGCGGCTAACATTTTATTATAAACCCAATTCGCTGCGGCTAACGGCCACCCACCACTTGGCCGCGCGTACGTAGCAATAAAATCGGCGCATGCTCAAAGGCAATACATTAAGAATCACATTGACTTGACAGGCGGCCGTCCGTGACAATGTTCTGCACGTATAACAGTTGAACTCAAGGCAACTTTCGGAGCGTTGTTGTGCATTTCTCCATTCAGATTGACTGAAAACTTCCGCTCATAGGATAGTTTGCAGCGGTAGTGTTGAATGCATCACCCGTTTCAAGGAAACGCAATGCAACACAAAAACGTTCAGGAGGCCAAATTGTTCCCTTCTTTAAAACTTCAAAATTAAATGAGGCGCAACATATTATAATAATTTTTTGAATTTTGTAGCTGACATTCGAAACATCGGGAAAAATAATTCGGGATCCGACAATTGTGCTTGTCGAATAAGCAAATTGTATTCACCTTTAACTTTTCGTTGCTAGTGAATTTCCCTGACTCAAGACCGTCTCTTTCTGGCTAGTTTCTAGTAGAAATGCCGTTCTTCTTCTTCTTCTTCACTTCCTAACAATTTTCTTCGCCGATTTTAAGCTACCATCTTTGTTTGTTACTTTACACGGGTTTTCAAAGCTGTTCTAGTGATTCTAGTGGTCATGCTTATTGCTATCTCCAGTTGCACGAACGTACGTGCTTTTGGTTTCCTTAATCTTCCGTACGCGCGGCTAAGTGGAGGTCGGCCTCTAATAATCGAGGGGGCTTATAAAAAAGGGCGGCTTATAATCGAAAAAATACGGTACTTTTACGTTCAAGAAATTACTTTTTGTGGCAAGATAAGAGGTAACAAAACTCGGAAACAGCCGTATTTTGATGTTTATAATGCCTGTTACGCCTTATTGTAAAGATGATTATTTTCCAAGCTATATCCATTATAAATGAATGGCCTTTTAGTCCCATTTACTACGCTTCGTGCGACATACAAGTTATCAAATTTCCAAACTGATTGCTCGTAATATAGCAATACTCAATAGCCTCTTTAATGGGATGTTTCAAGCCTGTTTTTAAGGTGACCCTCAACTGGACATGATAAAAACGAACATTTTACATACCTTTGTTATAACAATCAGCTGTTAGGCATATGGGACAGTTGGCTGTTCCAGCTTCACCCTCTGCACAAACTTTTAACTTTAGCCTCAATTTGTGAATGGGATAACCTGAACTGTCTTGACCAGCACATCGACCACCCTGTCTTTGATCGATATCACCAACCCGTCCTGTTCCTGTGCCTAAAATTGAAGATAAATTTCGTTTAAATGCAAAAACATAAACGCATGAAACTCTTTTAAATCAAAGAATAAAACAGCATGTTTTCGCAAGCATCAGGCTAACTTCTGAAACGAGAACAGCCTCTGTGTTTTTGCAAAAATGAGAATGCCTGAGCAAAATTTGATTCGGCTATAGGTCAGCATTTTCATGAATATTCAAGTACCAAGAATGCACCAAAGTGTACAGTTACAACAATTTCGAAATCATTCTTATGCAAGCAAGGACAGGTAAAGCCGCCTTATTGTTTAAGAGCTTTGGAATCTTTTTACATCAAAAGAAAGGAGCCAAAATTTGGCTGTACAGAGAAAGCGTTTGTTTTCTCTCTTGGATCGCTCAACTAGTTGGGAGGTTAGTGGCTGCCATTGCTAAAACACAACCATAGTTTTGGGCAAGAACCAATTTACCATGCCGTCCTTCCTCTCATGTGTCTTTCAATGCGCCAGGGCTTACTTTTTCTACTTACCTATGGACATGATCCTACTTCTATAATCTGAGGAGTGCCTGACAAACAGTACTACACTATGACATAATTCCCCAATCCAGTGTCGTTTTCAAATAATACAGTACCAAAGGCTTATTTGCACACAGCATTCCTAATCAAAATTTATAATAAATGTAAGTGAGTATACATACCAAACAAATAATATTCTTTGTTGTAAGCAAAAATTGGTTCATCATCACTTGCTACCATCTGAGCCACTCTAATAGTGCGAAATATTGGGGACTTTGGATTATTGCAATTCAAAAACTTCTTGCTAAAACCTGCAGACAACGAAAAAAAGCATTTGAAGTAAAGAAGTTTGACAGATTTAATTCATTAATAAATACTGAAAAACAAAGATGTGAATTGCATGTTATTTTTGTTGTTGTTATAAAGAAATCTTATCACTTTCTCCACTGCTACTTGCAAAACGGAGGTTCTGTAATGCAAAACACCAAAGGAAATTTATTAAACTCACTTGTAGCATTGCATTGATCTAAAAGTGTTTTATTCTCTGTAAGAAATCCATTTTCATACATCTCTGAGTGTAAGGTGCTTGCACTGTCAAACCACTCAAGGTTTTTTCCTTCTGCAGGACATCCAAATATGACATAGTCATTCATCCTTACATTAATTGTGTTGATGCCTCTACTCGGGCAATTGAATCTAAAAAAGGTATAACAATGCCATTTATTAAATTGAATTTAGGCATACTAGTTACATATTTATTTTGGTAGCTTAAAGAAAGACAAAACGCAATTTTACACAAAAGAAACATGAATTAACAAATAAAAAAACAAAAATTTCATACTCTTTCTACACGAGGATTTAATAAATCAAAAAATAATTAAATCCATTAAAAGTGACTTGTGTCAAAGTAATAAAAAAATGAGATTCATAAAAAAATTTTCATTCGGTCTAAAATCGTATGTTAAACACAATAAAGGTGCAAAACAACTAAAACTAACATTAAACATGACCAAATTAAAGACAAATTACAAGGGAAAGCATGAAAATGCTTAATGCAGAAGGTGTAGAGAACATGAGGAGTATATAGAGCACCTGTGGGAATGCCGATATTTCCAAAAAAATGACTTGCCAAAAATAGGTTGCTTACAGGGGAATAACCCAAAGTTACTTAGTAACATAAACAAATGTGTGGAACAATTTTGCAAATTCTGAAATAAAAAACAACAATACCCAAAACCCGTAATACTACCCTCACTGCACTGGTGGTAAGTAGTAATTGCTCAGAAATGGAGAAGTGGTATCACTATTATTGTTACTATCATTATTAGATCACATCAAAAATTCTTACCCATAATTATTGGATTAACCCCCTTGTATATAAAAATTCTTAATGACTCCTTGGGGAAATCGTTGCCATAGATCTAATACCTCGTAGAAAGAAAAGATTTCAATATCCAATAAGTTTCAGCCAGGCGAAACTCAACCTAATTGACCATTCTCGCATAATAGGCCTCCTTGACTGAACTGATCAATTCAATGCTGTTTAAATGGAATGACACACGAGCTGATAAAATGTTGAAATAATGAATTGGGCGCGACAAATACAACGCGTCACCTGCAAACTTTCACATACATTGTTATGTTCGTTGTGTTATGTTATGTTATGTTATGTTATGTTATGTTATGTTATGTTATGTTATGTTATGTTATGTTATGTTATGTTATGTTATGTTATGTTATGTTATGTTATGTTATGTTAGTTATGTTATGTTATGTTATGTTATGTTGTGTTGTGTTGTGTTGTGTTGTGTTGTGTTGTGTTGTGTTGTGTTGTGTTGTGTTGTGTTGTGTTGTTATGTTTGTGTTGTGTTGTGTTGTGTTGTGTTGTGTTATGGCTAGCAAAGGCAACCTTCAAAGTGCAATGAAATCCGAGCAATGTTTCTTTACATACTGCACCAATTTTTATCAAGTTGATTCGCTACGAAACGTACACCCTAGATAAATTTTCTTTGAATTTCTGCAATGAAACTCGCAACATTTTCAACATTCCCAAAAGGGCATGTTTCCTCGTTTTTCTCATTTCTATAGCTAGTGAGACGTTTACCAAATAATTTCTAGCCGATCTTCTATCTAAAATAGAAAGATTTTAAGTGCGCAAAAATCAACCTAACATCATGTCTGAATTCAAAGAAAATCGTTGAGTCAACATATGAATTAATTTTTGGGACTTGTTTTTCAAATCCAAAATTCTAAACCAAGCAACTGGTGGCCAGAAAGTCTTAAGACGTTGCTGTCTCCTGTCATTTGCGGGTGTGTGATTCATTTTAGTTGATAATCATATTACCGTCTGACTCACGCTTATACACGGAAACCAACGGCTTAACATTGTCCAAAAGAATATTAAGGAGCACACTTTTTTGCAGGTATATAAAATGAACAACGAAGAGTGCAAAGCTTTTGCAATAGATTGTCCTTGTAGATCCAGCAGTGTATAAGATCGGCCTGGATCTGGGCAAAGAGGGCAAAGAGGGCAAAGAGGGCAAAGAGGGCAAAGAGGGCAAAGAGGGCAAAGAGGGCAAAGAGGGCTGAAGCTTTCATAGCAAGGTTAATTAATCAACCAGACACCATTGACGAGGTTGTTCCTAAAGCAACTTCTAAGACAGGAAAAACCTTAAAGATGGATGAATTGAAGATGGAGATATAAATGCCTTGAATTTGGTACACCGTTGTACCAACAGCAAGCGCTGTATCATATAGGCTGTAAATATTGCTGATGGGAGAATATCTCGAATAAATATCAGCGCTACAAAACGCACGCATAAATAAATAAGCTATTTGTACCGCTAAATCAAAGATAGCATGGAAAAGAGAGAATGTGGCATACTTGAGTATTTTTCGTCGGACGAGTGTTGTACGAAAACTATGTACGCGTGCTGTGTTTTCTCTCTTTCGTGCTGCACACATAAATATTAGAGTGAATCAACTAGTTACACGAACTGATTACTACCAATCCAAACAAATAAATAAATAAAATAAAATAAAATTTTATAAAAACAGAAATAAGATAGATATCACTGACAAATAGCATAGATTTTGAAACGACCAAATAATTTGTCCAATCAACCTTAAAATGCTGGAGATATGAGAAGTTCCTGTCTTATTGAATTGATCTCAAAACTAACAATTAAGTTCCGTATAATTTGGTAAAACGATTTGGGGCTGATAAAAACTCACTTTTAAGAAAACGGGCATTCTGTTGCAGCGGCATTCGCCTGATAGTTACGGTGCTTGATAGTAAAGACTAGTCGCGAAATGGTAATTAGTCGGGAAAAAGATGGAACCTTTTTGTAGTCGTGTTCCAATGTTCCATGATGATATGGATGGCAAATCGTCTGGATTATATCAGACCTACTATGATAAATATGGTTTAAAATAACCCAGATTCTGTTTAGCCACGCATGATAATACATCAAAGTATCCTGATATCTAGATAAAAATGAGCATTTTCACTGCCAATATGACAAACAGGCATCAAAAGCCGTGGGAATATCACTGAAACCGAGCTGAGACAAGTAAAAAAGAATGGGATTGAAAATGGCATCAGAGCAATCTTAAAGCTGATGCCCCCCCCCCTGGCTTTTCAGTGACAGATAAGATATTCAATTCAAAATAAATTGACGTAAGAGCCTCCTATGCTGGCTGGTAATAACTATTTTCAAAACACGAAGTGCTCAAAAATCTTGAAATTCCCATGCTTAAATCCATATGTCGCATAAATATATTTAAACAAAATATAAAATTCTGAAAATAACTATGTTCAACGTTCAGTTATAAAGTCGTCTAATCAAGCTCTATCACGAAAAACATCTACTTAGAGGTATAAATTTTTACAACAAGAGCTGCAGAACCTGAATTCAACTTTGCCAAGAATTCAACTTACTGGCCTTTTATGAAAAGCATCAAGACACTACAAGTGGTGGCTGAGCCCCATTAAAAAGCTGCCAGGGGTTGGGGGCTTGAGCTCACAAGCAGTTGGTTCCTATGTGGTCAGTACAAACTTATTACAAATTACAACGGATAACAAATAGATTTGTATCTAGATTCATTTGTTTCCAAAAAGGACACATGGAGGCAGGCATAACATCTATTTGATATGTTTCTTTCTCTTTAAGATGGAATCAGCTGTTACAGCAAATTCTAACCACTAATGGGGTAGTTTTAACAAAGCAAACAAATAATAATTTATTCACAGGAAATAATCAAATGCAAATACTAAAGACAAGTACAACAACAAAGGAGGGTAAAGACAGGTGATAAAACTAACTAACAACCACCTTTCACCACTAATAAATGGGATGTATTTTTTTGAGGATTCTAACTCTGTTTTTATTATGCCAAATCCAATGAGCTTTCTATCAAACATCAGGATTAATCTTTCAAGAACAAGTACAAACCTTAAAAATACCTCATAATGTAAATCAAATTTCAATTGTGTGTATTAAATACCTTACATTAAACAGGTTAATGAAATCAGAAAACATGACAATAAAAATAAAAAAATATACTTGAAAAAGAAAGAGATGTATACATTGAAAAAGCTTAATACCAATCAAGTTTAAATTATTCACCCCCTGGAGATGATACAAAAGTAAAGCTGACAAAGAAGAATACATACTGTGCTACTAAAGATTATTTTGAATATTCATGTTAGCTATAAATGAGAGAGAGATAAATTAGCTCTAACATCATTTATTAGGAAAGCAAAATGTTCAGGAAAACATCTTTGAAAGACTACAAATGTTGCTACAAATGAATATTGAAATATTGAAGAAGCTCTGCTGGCAAGGGTGAAAAGAGTGAAATTTGAATCTTTGCTTTCTTCAAGCACTTATACTTATCAAAAAGATTTCTTATAGCTAATGCAAGATATTGAGTATATGGAAGGCACTCAACTTTACAATACTACAAACATATTGACTGGTCTTTCAGGCATCGCCTTTTAACTGATGAATAGAAAATACGATATCAGCTAGAATTGATAGGATCCATGGGATCCACTCTATCTAACAAAAAACAATAAGCAGTAAATTATAGAATAATACTGTGCTTTTGGTAGGACAAATTCAGCTTCTCAATTATTTTTAGCACTTTGGCATCCTTCATTGAAGACTAACTGGTCATCTTTAACAATGACCATTACTTGGTGTTTAAGGTGATTGTGTGAGTGGTTTTTGTTGCTGAATTTATAAGTTTTTTTACTCACTGATTTCACTAAACTTTTCATAAACACACAAATCATCATCAACATATCTATCATGGACAGGGCATAATTTGAATTCTTAACAAACATTTTGGTTTCCTGATCAAACTGTTGTATTATGTCAATAATAACAATCTTATTATATAAAATAAGGTAACAGTTCATTATACCGGATAGTTTTCGACAAAGTTTTCCTGAGGTAAAAACAAAAAAGACAGGGTAGTAAACATGGTCATATTCTTTTGTGGATATCATGATAAAGAAGCAAGTAAGCATTCAGAAATGCATTTCATTTCATGCTCTTGACAACATTTGGCCCATCTTCATTATATGATAAAAAAATCGTCAGATATTTGAGTAGAATATTTTGACAAAAACATATTTTGAAAGCAGGGTTTTTGGCCTACCTTTTTGCTTTATGGTGTAGATTACATGTATAAGGAGTCTGTTTGTAACATATCCTATCATAGCTCATGTGCTGCTAACCAACATTAAGGCAATGTTTGATATTTTGCAGTCAAATTCTTGCAAATTCTATAACACATGTGCTGTGCAAATGAACCATTGTGTGCTCTTAAAGGAGCAAACTTGAAATGGAGCTAGTGAAATTTAAACAATATGCACAAGGTGCAAAAAGCAGAACCTGTTATTATAAATATCTAGGGGTGTAACAATGTATTACTGGTGAAAAGAAAGAACAATTTAATAATGAAGGCAGAAGTTATTTAGTTATTAACCAAGTAACTGATATCCAAGCTATGCAGGAATACCAGGCAGGATACAATTTGGAAAATCTATATGTGTTTCGATACTGCACAGATTGTAACAAATAAAACAGAACTACATCTTTAGGTGAAATACACCAAACTAGCTCTTTCTTTAGACACTATTAGATGAAACATGATAGCAAGAATTTGGTGAAAATCTGGACATGTAAAGCTTGGAACAAAAAAACAGAACTACATTTTCAAACAATTTTTGCCAGCCCTTAACTGGGGCTTAGTTTTACTGCCAAAATAGAAAAAATATAGATAAAGATTGCTGAAAAGAGGAACAATTTTGCCAAATAACCAAATTTTCAAGCCACCGTCTTTGATCAAATTGCCATCCGTTTTATGCAAACAAAATAACTACTTTTGGCGAATTTGGCTGCAAAATTTTAGTTGAATACAGCACTTCCTTGGTGTGTGTTTCGACCATACCTGCCATTAAAACATGCCGATTTATTTCAGATTTATTAATGTCTAATAAGACTTCATGCTGAAACGCTTAATCAAAATAAAACTAGGCTGATTCTTGAAAATAAAATTAGATTTATCATGTTTGAAGATAATTAAGCTCGATATGTTTTATTATGCTCAGCAGGCTTTATCGACGAAAACCTATTGGAATTCATGTTTAGGTAATCAGAATGATTTTAGGCCTAGGTGGACAATTAGCAAATTTTTCCAGGGCCCAGGAGTAAAATCTCCCATAATTTGTGGCTTAAGTTTAAACTATTGTCAGTAGGGGAAAGATATCGACTTGATTTGAAGCCTAATGCCCTTTGCTTTGCTGCTTGAATAACAACCGAACCACATAATGAGCATTAGACAGAAATAAAACTTACAACGGGTTCCTTGGGTCCCAAATGATAGCCGGCATAAGAAATGAATATCGGGGAACATCTTTCCGATCTGTTGGCACTTCTTCGTTAACTACTAACGTAAAAAACGTCCAGAATATCGCCGCAGCCAGCAATTGATGTGAAATTCTGGAGCACCCAGCCATTACTTTCGTCAGTAGTAATGATAGTAAGGAGAGTTTGACGAGCGGTATTGAAAGCAAATTAAATGACGTAGCGGTCACGGAGCATCCTCTGAAGATGAGTTTTATGCATAGAGATTTTATGATTCATCGGTTAACAAATCGACACATTAACAAACGCAGAATTCGCAAATATGCAACTTCCTTCCTCTTTGCAATAATTCAATTCCTGAATTCCTGACAGTCGTGGGGTGGTGGTCGTATAGACACAGTTGATTTCCAGTACGAGGCTGTTTAGATTAATGTTTGCAAACTGCTTCTCAAACTGCTACAATACACTCTTTTTTTATAAGAACCAGTAAATTTAAGTTCAGGCTGACTGTTCTTAATTTTTTCGAAAATCTGAGGCTGGATCGTTCTTAATTTGTTCTTGAATTAAGAGGGTGTAAGCAGTGCTATTGCTAGCTTTTTTGCTCTAAGGAGGTGTTCAGGCCTTATTTCCCAACAAAATGAGTGGGACAGCCTTAATTTGCTGACAAATTTGAATATTTACCGAAAAAGCACCCACACATCGCTAAAAATCCTCGATTTTGAGAAAAAGCGTTGTTAAAAATTGCATTTTGCAGAAGCTCAGCCTAAGCTTGTTCTTAATTTGTTCTTAACTTTCGACCAGTTTTGAGGCTCGCGTTCTTATAAAATTGTTAAAAAAACAGAGTGTATTCAAATTCATTTTTTATTCAGCAACTTAGTTACAAATTAATATCAACAAAGTAATTATATAGTAATTTACAGCCCATATAACTAATAATTTTAACAATATAGAGTTGTCTAGGTAGCTGAGAGGAACCGGGACGGTTTTCGAGCCCAGCACCCTAAATAGTGTAATCTAATAATAGTAACAATGAGAAAACAACAAGTATATTTTGAATGGTAAACTAATTATTGAATATTACAAGTTATTCATTTATTTGAAATCTATATCAAAACAAGAACAGAACGGTATAATAAGGGATAATATAGAGAAAGAGAATAATCAAAATCTACTGAAAATACTTCTAACTTTTAGATCCTATTTTTAGTATCCGTAAGACTAGATCACGCGATAGGTTTAAAACTTCTAGTGAAGCTGTTCATACATCCAACGTTTGCTGCATATTATCAGATAAGGGTCAGGTAATAGAGCAAATAAGAAACACCGCAATGCGACGAGAATGAACAACAATAAATACACGTAATTAATTAGTGAAAGCTAATATTTCGCCCTGGCATACGGGGCTTTACAGAGCAAAAGTAAACGGACTAAAAATGTACATATTTAAAAGAGGCGATGGTGGTGTCGGATAGGCTGATGTGGAATTGTGTGAATGCAGCGCAGTGTAAAAGGACAGAATTTCGTTAAGGAAACTTTTGCTTGTTTGCTGTTTGAATTTCATTTGCGTGCTTGACTTTTGTTAGCACTTTGGCCAATTTCCATGTAACAGCCTGTCTTGTGATCAGCTCCTTTGTTCTGTTTTGTATAACTGTCCTAATTATCTTAATTGCTGTTGAGTAAAATATTTGTTGGCTTTTGTGAGTAATTCAGTCGTTTAATTAAGTCGCTAAGGTTTAGACGTGATTTCAGATGTTCGGATAGCCGTTGTTATTTCAAGAAGTTTGAAGCATACCAGTTTTGCCGAAGTGACCCGTTTAGTCGTTGTTGAATTAGATGAAACTATAGGAACCGTCGAGCCAAGAAATCAGAACACGCTTATTGAATTTTGTACTTTCTTTTACTGCTGAATCTGCGAACACAAGCCTGTAAAACCCTCGTAAACCCAGTGGTTTTACATTGGTGACCACGACGTGACAGGAGAAATTGGTATAAAAGAAAGCTGGTATTTTAGAAGAAATATGTCGAATTTTAATCGTAGAAATGACTTGCTATATTTGCGTGCAACAGACGGTCGTCCAGTCTGCAACTACTGTAAAATGGTTGGACATGTTGTCAAGTACTGTCGCAGTCGCCCGTTTATTCATCCACCAAAACCATATCGCACGAATGGATTTCCTCGTTGGTTTTCTACAAAATTTAGCCGATATAACGACGCACAATTTGAGGAAGAATTCCAGCACATCTGCAAACTAATTGAAAACTTGAAATGTATTTTACGTCAAGTAGAAGAGATAATGCACAGAAAAAGGGAAAATGTTGCGAGACAAGATAGGGGACAAAAAAGGTGTGAATTTGAAAATAATGAAATCGCACCCAATGAACAGGAAGATTGTGTCATGCCAGAACAGTCGATTTATAAAGGAGATGCAAATAGGGGAGGCAGCTATTACCAAAGAGCAGGGGAAGCAAACAAGATTGTCAGGAAACATAGCACGCCAAGCGGTACCAAACAATTTTGGAATGGAGTCACTTGAAGCAAGCGAGGACGCTTGTCCTTGAAGGGGAGAGTTATGTAAAAGGACAGAATTTCGTTAAGGAAACTTTTGCTTGTTTGCTGTTTGAATTTCATTTGCGTGCTTGACTTTTGTTAGCACCTTGGCCAATTTCCATGTAACAGCCTGTCTTGTGATCAGCTCCTTTGTTCTGTTTTGTATAACTGTCCTAATTATCTTAATTGCTGTTGAGTAAAATATTTGTTGGCTTTTGTGAGTAATTGAGTCGTTTAATTTAGTCGCTAAGGTTTAGACGTGATTTCAGATGTTCGTATAGCCGTTGTTATTTCAAGAAGTTTGAAGCATACCAGTTTTGCCGAAGTGACCCGTTTAGTCGTTGTTGAATTAGATGAAACTATAAGAACCGTCGAGCCAAGAAATCAGAACACGCTTATTGAATTTTGTACTTTCTTTTACTGCTGAATCTGCGAACACAAGCCTGTAAAACCCTCGTAAACTCAGTGATTTT